AGCGCCGTCCCAACCGGACGCCGCTCGCACTGCCGTGTGTTGCCGAGCTCCGGTGTCGGATCTGCCGGCTCCCTGCTCCTCTGTCGCCGCTCTCTGGTCCCCACGGACAGGGAGACCCGCACAGTTGGACTGTGTGACGGCGGGCTGCGGAACACTGGGGACCTCCCGGCCCGGCTCGACTGCCCACCGCTCGTGTCGGGGTCGGGTCGGGCCGCGCCGGGTCCCAGTGATGTCCTGTGACCGCCCCAGGGGACGACGGAGGCTGGTTGGCAACAGGGCCGGTCGGCCGGCGGCAGCTGACTCACGGGCCGGTTTTTATTGGGCGCCGGGGTGGATCGGATAGTGATCGATCCGGGACCCTCCCAGCCGCAGTTACATTATTATTTTTGGCCGCCGACCTTGCCTACAGGCGCTCCAACATATGTCGTTGATCATAATCTGTTGCGATTACATCACCTGTGTGACCGGGAGGAGGCCCTGTTGAATATTGTCGCCGGGGAGCTCTGGCCGTCCGCCAGCAGTCCGCCGGCCGGGCTCGGTTTGTCCGCCGGCCCGAGCAGTGGTGGTGCGTCCGGCCGGCGCGGCTGCCGGGGGCTGATACGGCGGACAGCCGGCTCGATCGGCGATTTTTCATGCGATAACGATCGGAGCTCGGGAGCTGCTCCGGCCGCCGAGGCTATTAGTCGGGGGGGGGGGGGGGGATCCAACCTACTCGCCTCCCGGCTCAGATTTATCGGCGTTCGAGAGGGAAGGGAAGCGGGCGGCAGCGGCTGACGCAATGCGTTGATTAAATCCGGTTAGATTGATATTTGGTTCACTGGATCCTTCACAACAGTGTTCGCCACGGGCCGGGCCAGCCCAACGGGCCACGGGCCGGGCTGGGCTACGGGCTGGGCCGGGCCCCCAAATATCATTAGTTAACGGGCTATGGATGGGCCGGGCCAAGAACTTTGTGCACTATGGGTTTTGCGACTAATGTCAATTTAAGGAAATTTGGAAACTGATGCAAACAAAACCCACTGGGAAAATACAAAAACTAAACCAAATTTAAGCAATGTGAAAGAAAACCTACTTGATATTGAATTTTGGGAATCTTGAGAATTATCCAATATCACATCATGTCACACATAGGAGGGTTTTCATAAAAATTCCGCAACCAAAAAGATCAGAGAATCTCTAGCATCATTAGTTTGTTAATAAAAGTTAAAATGTAGTCATCAGAACAACTTACTTAGCACTACAACTCCAAAAACTAAGAAGCCACTCAACAATGATGGGCTACAGGGCTACATTAAGTTAACACTTATATATGGCGATAGTGAGACAATTCCAACACAGTCTTTTTTCCTTCACCGACGGCTTTTTAACGAACAGAACCTTAAAAGGATACTCACAAAACACACTGTAAGTAACGAGGAACTCTACAGAGTATTTCGCGATGAAAGCTTCTTTAAATGTCCATAAATTTGTCAAAATAAATCACAACAAACCAGCCCCTTCTCAACAAAATGTGCAATCATGGCGGCGGCGCTATGTTTATGTGGCGGCATCTAGGTAGTATACACAACAGTATATCAAATAAATACGTTTTTTAAGTGAGTATCAAGGTGAAAACAAAATTAAACCAATGAAAAATAAAACCAAAATCACGAAGTCTGAAAACTCGAACGAAAAACAAAACAAAAACTTGATCATATATGTTTTATTATACAATTCGTCAGAATCGCTACCTGCCGCAGCTGCGACAATCAAGAAGTGTTCGCTCATTTTCGATTGATGATGATGATGCGTACAAGTCGCAAAAGTACCCAATGACATTTCAAGCTTACCATGTTTTCTGCTTACGCTGCTAGCGATATCCATATCTTGAAAAGAGCCTAACATAAAATAGCAAGGAAAGTAGCAGATAGTTGTCCACAGAGATTCGGTTGACACGTGGGCATGAATTGAAAATAGATTAAATCAGTTTTGCTGATAAATGGATGGATTTTCTCTTTTTTTGGAAGACAGTGCTAAAGTTAGTGTCACCTATTTTGTATGCTTTCTCAGGCTTTTGATATTGCAGCATCTATGGAGTGAATTTAACAGCAAGGTCAATCCCAGACAGATTCATCAATTCCCATAAGTCAAGCTTTTTTTCTGCTGGTAAGTGCTGGGAAGTATAGAGTATGTTGCAAATACTTCCTTCAAGTATGCATTAGAGTCACCAATTATTAATGATAATGTTCACACACATCAGCTTGCAAGATAACTTTACTCATAGAATGTAGTTAATATAATCATGTAAACTTTTTATAGGTGTGTAATCATGACCTAATTGACTGAGGTGCTTGCTGTTACTGTTAAAATTTGTGCCATAGGTGCTTGAAATGATTATATTCATTGAAAAGAAGGGAGTCATGATTGCCATGTTAATATTCATGCAATTTGAATTGTTCTCAAAATAGTGTAATCAATCATGCTTATTATAGCCATAGACTAAGACAATAACTAGATTGCTATTTTTGACGGGCCGGGCCGGGCTGGGCTTGGAATATTTGCCAAGAGCGGGCTACGGGCTGGGCCGGGCTCTGAACCCATGGGCCCGGGCCGGGCTGGGCTGGGGATTTTGGGGCCCGTGGCGAACACTGCTTCACAACACGATAAAAAGCCGGAGCTAGAAGCTGGATGGGTGTGAAAAACGGCAATCTCCTTGGAGACGGAAGCTAGATATAGGTGGGAGTTGAAGACAGTCCGGGATGGAACCATCGCGAGTGTCGTTACCGCCATCCACTTTCTTTCTGCTCCCTCGCGTTTTTTATGTCTCCCTCTGTCCCTCTTCCTGCTCCTCTATTTCTCCCATTTCATCTCCTCTCATAATCTATCCATATTTCCTCGCACCACACAACTATTTTCCTTTCTTTCCCCATCGATCCTGACCATTCAACGGCCGCCTCCCTGTCCCTCGGCTGTCTTCAGGCTCCGGCAGGTCAAAGTCTCGTCCGTGCTTCGCCATACTCAGCTTCCATGCATACGTCACTGCGCTGCGCCGCACCACGCCTCCCTCCACCGCCCGCCGACTACCAGCCGTGGGCTCACGAGTCACGAACCGACTGCCGTCGGACGGACAGCCAGGTCCGCTGGCCGGGCGTCTGCCGACGGACGGACGGGGGACGGGCAGCAGGTCCGCGCGCCGGCCGTCGTGCACGGCCGCGCTGCAGCGCCGCGCCGCCTGGTAACAGCGGTATTGGCGGTCACGACCTTCGCTAGCTGGCCGGCCGGGCGGCGGGCCGGGCCGCTTTATGGGGAGCCGGCCGGGAGCGTCCAATGGATGGTCGTGTTTACAAAGCCGGGCCGGGGCGGCCTGCATCGGCCCGCGGGGCGCGCCGGGTCGGTTCGACGGCAGAGAGACGGGGAGACGGGGACCGAGCTGGGCCTTGGTCGGACCGACGGCCGAGAGACGGAGACGAGACGGCTCCCCGGAGACACCGGTAGGAGCGGGGCTGTCGATAGAGACGGGAGACGCTATCGGTAGAAGCAGGCAAGCTATCTGTAGAGACAGACGGTCGGGATGAGATTGAGATTGTCGGCGTTGCTGATCGGACGGGTGTTACTCTATATCTCTGTATTAGACGCGATTGACTTGGTGGGGGCAGGGACAGATGTCTGCGGCTGATGCAGTACAAACACTGCACCGATATGTAGGCATCAACTAGCGTGACTATCGCTGGAGATAGGCGCCTGAGAGATAGCCCGGTCAAACGTGGAGCCCGAGTTTGTTGCCGGATGCTCATCGTTCCTGGCGCTTGATAGGCCCGATGCTGTGCATCCGTCATTATGACGAACGTGTTTGATGACGGCACAATCGTTGCAGAAAAATTGAACGTACAGGATGCACTCATTTGCATACATACCTTGCCACTGCCTTATCAAAAACCGTCTCGCTGTATCCACCTTCTCTCAATCCTCTCCTCGATGCCTTTCACCATTCCGGCTTCCTTCGCACTACCCGATTCCTGTTCCACACCCCGCTCTCCCCTATCATTGTCTGTGAGTGTCCCGCAGCTGTGCTGTCGGTCTCCGCTCGGTGCGCCGTTTCCTCGTTGTCGCGGCTCGCCGGCGGTTATCCGGTGGGCTGCAGCCGCCCTCGGTCGGCTGTACCGGCCGCGCGACCACCCTATCATGCCCCCCACCCCACCCCATCCCGCCCCGAGAGCTGGGACGGGGATGGGGTCGGCCCGTTGATATCGTACACACCGCGGCCGGCGCCGGGCTATGTTGCGGTGAGCGCTATCATCTGGCTATCCGTCCCGCCCGCCCGCACCACTGCTGCTAAGTCGGTTCGCCGTGGGACGACCCGATAACCCGCGTTCAGCGGCCGAAAATAGGGCCCCGGCGCCGGTCCGCCGGCCTGTCCCGAGCAGCCGCACCGGACCGGCCGGTCCCGTGGTCCGGTCCGGACCGGCGCAGATGGACCGGTTTGTTCCTGTTCCTGTTCCCGTTCCATTCCGTTCCCGTTCCCGTTCCTGTTCCCGTTCCTGTTCCCGCTCCTGTTCCCGTTCCCGTTCCCGTTCCCGTGCCGTTCCTTGTCTCATCCCGTTTCGGTGTGCTGTTAGAATACACGATGTCACTCGCGACTAAGTCGCGGGTCAGGTCAGCGGAGACAGAGTTGTTTGTCGGCCTTTAGTCTGGGATACGGGAAATAACGGTATAGCACCGAGTGCTAAATGATGTTATGCTTGCTGTAATCCCGTTCGGTGGTGAGCGTTTCCAAACAAGCAACGGTACTGTGGATGACATTCCAGCTCAACTCGAGGCCTTTTGCAATGTGGGACGTTTATTACATACGAACATACTTTAGACAGCTCTTTAGCACGTTTACCGTGTCTGGCACATTGGTCGTTCTGGGTCGCCTTACCAAATGTTCTGCTATTGCGTCCCTCACTTGCATCTTTTAACCCACCTCACACGAACCTTCAGTGTGCCGAAAGTCTGACGTTTTGCGGTATTCCTTTCCTCAGGTGGTTCCACGGTCACTTGCCGGGCCGGGAAGCCGAGAAACTGATGAACGAGAAGGGCAAGAACGGCAGTTTTCTGGTGCGCGAGTCTCTCAGTAAGCCGGGCGACTACGTGCTGTCCGTGCGCATCGACGACAGGACCTCCCACGTGATGATACGGTGTCAGGTGAGAGATGAACCACGTGATGATACGGTGTTTCCTAGGTGAGGATCACATATGTGATATGATGTCAGATGAGCTCACTGTCGCATCAGTCATAAGCTCAGTGTTCAGTGCATAGAGCTCACATTGCTGTGATAACCGGGGCAGGCGAGATGTAGGCTCTGAACAGTGCCTGCTGTGAAGTAATTCCGAGGGCTGTTCACGGACCCTGTGTGCGGTCGGACCGCGCACAGCCTCGAAGCTCCGCCCACTTCGTCCCTACGTCAGCCTTCCGTCACCGCACACAGCGATCGCTGTGGCCGGTCGGGACTGGCCACAGCGGACCGTCCACCGCACGCAGCCGTGACGTCAGAACCGCCTACCCATCCCCAACCCCCACGCCTGCTGGACGCACCGCACACACCGCACGCAGCAGTGTGCGGTGCCCGTGAACACCCCTCCGGATGGATGCAATCATGGTGACCATTGAGATTTGTATAACTCCGTAACACAAGAAGCTCCGTATAACTCGGGTCCGTATGTGTGCCTTCTGTCCTAACCCATTTCCTGTCTGGCCTATGCGACTCCGTGAGTTTCATCTGCTGACACCGTGTGCCGTGGCCTCGTGTCGTGCCCTGTGCGGCGTGCGCGCTGACCCCCATTTCGATATATCACAGTTCCCGCTGCACTAGTGACCGCGGTCTAGTACCGGGGAGCCAGCGCGGCTCCCTCCCCTCCTCCCGTCCGTTCTGCCTCGTCACCGGGAGATTATCATCACCGGCCTCTGCTCGCCGTGTCGGTGCTATATGCCGGGGTTATGGAGGAGGTCCGCTAATTACCCTCTCGGCACGGCTGTCCGCTGCTGTAGGTACTCAGTGTAGCCGGCCGGAGGCTGTGTTAGGGGCTCGGTGGGCCGGCCGGGGAGGTGTTGTGGCCGCGGTGGTCTATGAAATGTCGGGTGTCACCGGGTTCGCACTGCTGACTCATTGCACTGAGCCGGCCGCCACCTGCCCGTCCGCTGCCCTGCCCTGTCAGATTCAGCTCCGTGTGTGTGTCTGTCTGTAGCCCGTCCGCCCCGTCAGATTCCGCGGTACTAGTCTGTGTGTCTGTCTGTAGCCCGTTTGCTCTGTCAGATTCAGCGGTACTAGTCTGTGTGTGTGTGTGTGTGTGTGTCTGTCTGTCTGTCTGTCAGTAGCCCGTTTGCTCTGTCAAATTCAGCGGTACTCTGTGTGTGTGTCTGTCTGTGGGTGTCTGTACGCCTGTGCACACACCACGGCCTTTGGTGTAACTGGGATGAGTAGATGCCAATGTTTGCACATAGAAGTTGACTTTGTGTAACAATTTCCCAAGTGATCTTTTCCTTTGTTGTCCCAACATTTGTGCCGTGGGCTTATTGCGTTACTTACTACCGCGGCACTGCAAACTGCAAAAACAGGATTTAGGTTAATGTTCCAGGAGTTTGTCAATAAATTGCTCGTTACATGAAAAGCCAGAGCTGACAGGTTCGTGCTTTAGTCGTGCAGCTCATGCTTATAACTGGACTGCAGCCATTTCACTAAGCTATCTCTTTGGTATGGTGTGTGGCCTGTTATGTCCGCCATACGTTTTGTCCGTGATATCTCTCTTATCTCTTTTTTATTGTGGTTCTCGCCTCCTCTACCGGCTCCCTCCCTCGCCGACCGGCCGCTGTCGCTGTGCCGTCTCCTGCGGTCTGCTCCGACCCTTCTCCCCCGGCTGTCCCAGTCTTTGTGGTCCACAGCACTGACCTGTAGAAGCCCGGTACGGCACGACACTCGATGGCAGACGGTGTTGGTAGCCGGTAGGTCCGCCCAGTATCGCGGATAGGACGGGCGGAGTGCTCCGCCGCCACCGACTCACGCCGACAGGGACCGTCTCTGCGGGCGGGGGCGGTGTGACACCCCGACAGGTGTATCGCAGGGATTACAATCTAATCACAGCCGCCCCAATCCATTACCAACGCTAATGAACAGCGTAATTAGCCAGATGTGCGGCCGCCGCCGGCGGATTACGGCGCTCTCTGCCGACGGTCTGTGCCGATTGCCGGGTGGTTGTCTGCGGTCTGAGGAGCCGCGGGCCGGCCGCCGCCGCCGCCTGTGTTACGCCACGGGGCGTGGGAGCAGGGCGTCAGGGGCGCCCACGGCTGGCACGCGCCGCGCGGGACGGAACGGGCGCGCCGCTCTCGCCAATTAACCGCAGTGTTCACAGCGGGGGACGGGTGCAGAGCCGTCCGGAACTAGGGACGGGCGGGGTGGGTACTTACCGTGTGCGGTAGGTGAAAGGTGGGATAATTGTGGCAGTACGTAGGGCTAGAGGACTGCAGTAGTCATGTTCTGCTGCGTAGAATCATGCACCTAACTATTGGAGACTCGGGTGCACAGTGGATCTTCGATCACAGCACGACTGGATTCCCCTGTCCCCATGCCGCCCCTACCCTCCAGCCCAGCCTTACTGACCCGTTCTTCCTCTTCATTTTCCCCAGGACGGCAAGTATGACGTGGGTGGCGGGACGCGGTTCGACAGTCTGGCAGAGCTGGTGGACAACTACAAGAAGAACCCGATGGTGGAGACCACCGGCACCGTGGTCCACCTCAAGATGCCCTTCAACGCCACGCGCATCAACGCCAGCGGCATCGACAACCGCGTCAAGGAGCTGCAGGTGCGACCGGACCGCCGAGCGAAGGGAGCTGGGGAGCTGAGGGGCCGTGATCAGGGAGATCAGGGTATGGGAGGCTAGACAAATACCCGGGGCTTCTGTGAAACAGCATATCCGACAAACTTATTCAGGGCAGATGATCGGATTCGGGTCTGATGACAATCCTGTCGAACGCCAAGAATCATTTTAACGGTTTCTACGCCAAGAACCGTCGCTAGGCGACACTCGTGTTTCTAGCCTGTGAGATTTCTGAATGAGTCCAGACTTGTGATATCTGAATGAGTCCAGCTCGGGCTATTTCGGGCTCGGTGACGTCCACTCGTTATGTCTGCAGAGTTCCAGAGCTCTGTCCATTCATTCACACATTGATCTCGCGTTCCTTAGAAGGCCCTCAGTATCGCGCCGGCCCTCGGACTCTGAATGGCTGCCCGGCCGTCCATTGGTCGGCTGGCCGGGCGGCGGCTGGCCCTTCTGCGTACAGGCGGCGGTCGGCTCCGTTTTCTGAAGCCACCTCCGTATCAGGTCTCGGACGGTCCGGCCGGGCTGCGAGGGAGGGTCGTCGCAGCCCGGCTGCAGCTCCGGTCTCGGCCGCCGCCGCCGGCTATTTTTAACGTCCAGCTGAGGGAAAGCCGTGTCGCCGCGGCTTTCCGCTCGCGCGCCGGTGCACAGGGTCCGGGCGCCATGGCGCGGGCGCGGCGCTGGCCGGCCGGCTGCCGGACTATACCAAGGACGAGCGTGTGGAGCTCGGCGCGCCATTGTCCTCGCCGGCTGTCCTGTGGGTGCAGCGTGTCGGCTGAGGGGGCCACAGAACGCCGCCGTGTCGTCTGGAGCGGTTACAGAGCGCTACCTTACCGGTCATGTCACGTAATACTGTCAGATCAGCCAGTGGCGACAGAGCGCTGTCATGTCGGCTGCTGTTGTTACAGCACGCTGCTCTGTCGGGTTGGGCGGCCACAGAACGGTGTAGTATCGGCCGGAGCGCGGGTAAAACGCTGCTCTGTAGCACAGAACCGCCGCCCTGCTGCGGCAGATGAGTCACCGGTGCACCTACCTCAGACATTTGTCGACACTGCAGCCGGCGAGCCCGCCGACCCGGCCAGGATCACACGGCGTTGACGCAAAGCGGTACCCGCAACATGACGACACGCCGTGTCGGGCCAACAGCGAGCAGCAGCAGCATGTGATGACGAAAGGAACACGGTAGGATGAGTGGGAAACAGGATATAAAACGGCTGTTCAAAGGGAGTGGGGCGCAATGTAGTGATTGCTACACCGCCACAGGCACCAATTACTTTCATTGCTAACCCCAATAACCCAACAACTTCGAACTTCTGCAGACCCATTCCAACTGAGAAGGCTGGGTATCTTACCTCTTCCTTACTGCACCTTACATACCCCCCCCCTGACTTCACCCCACCAGGCATCACGTGGTCCACGGGACCAGGGTCACAGTCTGTCCCCTCGCTAACTCCCCTTCCTCCCTTCGGCAGAAGGAGCACGGTCCGTCGAACGGCAACAACGCCGGCTTCTGGGAGGAGTTCGAGTCGCTTCAGCAGCAGGAGTGCAAACACCTCTACAGCAGGAAGGAGGGCCAGCGACCGGAGAGCCGCAACAAGAACCGCTACAAGAACATCCTGCCGTTTGACCACACGCGTGTCATACTGCGCGACCGAGAGGCGCTGGGACCGGGTGCCGACTACATCAACGCCAACTTCATCACGGTACGTACAGAGGGAGGGAGGGGAGGGAGGGATGGGTGGATCACGGGAGAACCGGACGATGTAGTGAAAGTCCTGCTGTAACGCTAGTAGCTTCTCGAGCTGCAGAGGTAAAGGAAATGATGCGAGTGATTGAAGGCACTGACGTCTTGCACTTAACGATATGATGACATATCTCCATCCGAAATGGGCGGTGTATGGGTGGCGTTCCTGCTGCTGTTTTAACGATGACTACTCTGTCACAGGGGCCGATCCCCTGGCGGTAAAACCCGCTCCTGCTCGAGCCCTGCTGCTGCTGCGGCGCGGCGCTGTTTCCGTGTCTGCGCTGCTGTGTGCAACCACATATCAGTATCACGCCCAGGCCCCAGATAGCGACCGCCGTGTCCCCGGCCCCTCACTGCCGGCTGTAACCGGGCCGTCGCCGTGCCCCCGGCCCCCAACTGCCGTCTGTAACCGGGTGGTCGCCGGGCCCGGCCCGCTGCCCCGTATTAATTAACGTCGCCGGTGTTTACCAGCGCCCGCCTTCAAAGCCGCGGCCACAGACGGCTGTCATCAGCACGGAGCTGATAATGACTGCGCTAGCAGACCGCCAGAGAGCGCCCAGCGGTGACTTCATCTCGTCAGTGCGCCTGGTCGCCATGGCGAGAGCCATGTGATTCGACAAACATGTTTTTACGCCCGTTTATCTCATCTGGTCCAATGATGTCCGGTTAAATGTCGCCCTGCTCATCTGGTCAAACGTCGCCCGTTTTATATGTCGAGAACGAGAAGTTCCGAGAAGATAGCATGTTTTCAGGAGCTAGTCTCTACCCCGTTTCTACCCTCACCAAAACTCGCCTTCTTCAGTCCGTCCGTCCACAGCCGGAGCAGACCTTTGGTGGTTGAGGCGGTGGTGTGATCTCTACCCCCCTCTCTGACGGTCCCTCCCCTCCGTCCCGTCCGCCCCCAGCCGGAGGAGGACTCGCTGGCGGGCGAGGCGCCCAGCAAGACGTACATCGCCACCCAGGGCTGCCTGCCGACCACCATCGCCGACCTCTGGTGGATGGTCTGGCAGGAGAACTCGCGCGTCATCGTCATGACCACCAAGGAGATCGAGCGCAGTCGGGTGAGTCGGTGGCGCCGCGGGGCTGCCGTGGGGTCGCCGGGGGAGGGATAGCAGAGGGAATGGTGGTGAGGCGCCAGGGGGTGCTAGTGGGACTGCAACTGTGTGGGTTGTCAGGGGTTGATTGGACTTGGGGACTCGAAATAGGCGGACATAACACAGTGACCCAGCGACCAGTGATCAACCTCCAGAGCAGCACGACACGCGTTGTGCGGCTCTGGAGCTGATCATTGACACAGGCTCACTGTGTTATCTCTGCCCGCCTCGTTTGCTGCCCTGGTGTGACCTGACGGCTGCTGTCGCTGCCGGGGGACCTCTGACTCTGATCGATCGCCTCCCCGTGTCACCCCGCGCCGGCCGGGCCGGGCCGTTATGTTGTTTGTGGTTGGAACGTGCCGGACCAGCCCGCCTGGCGTGTGTCGAACGGTGTCAGGCCGGGTGGGAATGTCAGGCGGTTGGTCGGGGTGACGAAGGGGTGACATTAGCTATATATAGGGTGTCATATGCAGCTGTGTGATTGCTTCATGTCATGTATCGAGGCGCTGCGTTGTATAATGGTGCCTGGTGGATGGAGTCTGGCGTGAGAACTGTTTGCCGTATGCGGTCCTAGCAGCCTGCCCCCGCCGTACGTTGCCCATCCCCATGTGACTGTCGTTGGTTGTCTGAGTGACCCTGCGGTAGGTACGCCGCCCACCTCTACCTGTCTCTGACCGTCCCCGTCCGTTCCACAGGGTAAGTGCGCCCGGTACTGGCCCGAGGTGGAGCAGGAGGCCACATACGGCAGCGTGACCGTCACCAACCTGTCCGAGTCGCCGCTGGTCGACTACACGCTGCGCGCCTTCAGCGTCAAAAAGAAGGGCTGCCCAGAGGAGCGCAAAATCTACCACTTCCACTTCCGGGTGAGGAGGGGCGAGACGCGGCGCTGAGCAGAGCCGCTGAGCGGGGTGAGGCGCCGCGCTGGGTGGGGAGGGGGGGGGGAGGACAGACGTGCTAGCTGCAGTCCGTTCTAGCATTTCATGTGGCTTTCAGTCAGTAGATGTCGCGCCGTTTTAGGTCTGTGAGACTGCAAGGTGCAGCCATTGTAATTCACGGTTCTATGTTCATGTTCAGTGACTTACGGTGGCCGATTCTTGGTGGATTCTCCCCCTTATTCCCGTCGTGGACGTGCTTCTTGTCGCCCTCTGTGCTTACAGGCGTGCCCATCGACCCCGGCTGCTTGTGACCCGCTCTGACCTGACCTGACGTCCCCCTCCTACAGGCGTGGCCGGACCACGGGGTACCCACCGACCCCGGCTGCTTGTGACCCGCTCTGACCTGACCCCCCCCCCCTACAGGCGTGGCGGGACCACGGGGTGCCCACCGACCCGGGCTGTGTGACCTAACCTGACCTCCCCCTCCACTACCTACAGGCGTGGCCGGACCACGGGGTGCCCACGGACCCGGGCTGCGTGCTCAACTTCCTGCATGACGTCAACTCTCAGCAGGCCAGCATCCCGGACGCCGGACCGATCGTGGTGCACTGCTCGGCCGGCATCGGTCGGACGGGCACCTTCATCGTCATCGACATGATCCTCAGCCAGATCGACCGGCAAGGTGGGTACTGGGGCGGGTGGTACCTGGAGGGGGGGGGGGGGGGGGTGAGTGTACGGGGGACTGGAACTAATCCGGTGTTGTGTATCGGGTAAGGGAGAGGCGTCCGATGTACTCAAAGGATGGTGATTGTGTTGGATTGATGCTTTATTCGAAGCTCTTTGGTAGCTGATGGGGGACCGGCAGGTTATATCAGAGGCGAAGGAAAAAGAACGGCTGATGTCTGAATATTCGACGACAAAATGGAGGAGTTTGCTATCCAATGATAAGCAAAGTTGTCATAGGCCAAAATTAGAGATCGACTCACTCCGTGCTGTCTCTCGCTCCGTCAGCCCAGCCCACCCACCGCTCTCGCCCCTCTAACCGTTTCTACCGTCACGTCAGGTCTGGACACGGAGATCGACATCCAGCGTACGATCCAGCGGGTGCGCTCCCAGCGCTCCGGTATGGTGCAGACCGAGGCGCAGTACAAGTTCGTCTACCTGGCCGTCCAGTACTATATCGAGACGCTCCAGCTCAAACTGCAGGCCGAACAGGTCAGTCCTGGGACTTCAGGCTGGGACGGGACGGCAATGGGACAGCAGGCTGGGACGGGACGGCAGTGGGACCTGGGACGCAGGGTTCGTGGACGTAGACTGGATGGGGAGTCCGGTGAAAATGGCTATTTTAAGTGAAATGTACCTCCGTGCTGCACTGTGTGACATTGCGGCCCGCTTTCGTTTGCCACTCTGACACACATGGCTGTCTTGTGATGTTCGTACAGGCGCCACGTCCCATTCCTACCTGTACTGTCGTATGAGTTGTGATTGTAACACCGATCTCTACCTGTCTTTTTCCGACCTACGATGTCGTTTAACCTGTGCCGTTCTGTCCAACACTAACTGCCCGCGCCGCCAGGTGAGTCAGAAGATGGGCCGCGAGTACACCAACATCCGCTACTCGACGGAGGCGGCCGGCGCGCCGGGCGCCGAGCCGCGCGACGGCCGGGCGCTCTCGCGCTCTACCGTGTCCCTGCCGACCAGTCCGTCACCGGTGCCGACGACGCCGCTCTCGGCGCCGGCCGACCGGCACATGGCCAGCCGGGCCGCCTCCGAGAACCAGCTCACCAGGTGAGAGAGACAGACGGGAGGGGGCCAGCTCACCGGATGAGGGACGGGAGATGGGAGAGGGAAGGAGGGCGGCCCGGGCGGCGTCACCAGCTCGCCAGGTAAGAGAGGGGAGATAGGGAGAAGGCGGGAGGGAACTCACCAGCCGGGCGGCCTCAGAGCTCACCAGGTGAGAGAGACGTCAGGGGGCCAGCTCACCAGGTAAGAGACCTAACCAACTGTGGAACGGGATGGACAACCGGCCCATCAGGTAAACGTCAGGCAGCTTGCTCAACTTCTATCCCATCGCAATTATTCCTGATGGTGATACTGTCATTGCTTCAAGTGACGCAAGTAACTGTCCGTGATGCCGTATGACCCGCCACTGTTCACGTCTCAAGCTGACCTTTCCCTTCTCGGTGCTGACCGTTCTCCCCCTCTCCCCTTTCGGCGTCAGGTCGCCGGAGCTGCCCGACTTTCCGCACCAGATATACGCCAACGTGCCGCTGGGCGGCGGCAAGGAGCGGCCGGCCGGGCCGCCGCCGTTCGGAGCGCCGCGGCCGCCCAAGTCGTGATGGCGCGCCGCCGCCGGCGTCCTGTGATACGCGCGCCCGGCCGCCCCCGCCTCCGCCCCCGCCCGAGACCCGCCGTCGGCGCCGGCCGGCCGGCGACCGACCCGTCTTTCTGCGCGCCGCGCCGGCGGCCGTCCCGGGCCGGCTCTGTCGGCGGCGCGGCCGCCCGCCGCTGATTGTGTACCGTGTCGTTGTTCTGTGATATACCGAGTATCTCGGCTCGCGCGCGCGCGCCGGCCGTGTCGTTTGGTTGGCTGTGTTCGGTTTTGTTGGGCCGCGGCCCCTCGCCTCTCCTCCGCCGCTCTGTCGCGCTCTCCGTGCTCTGTCCCCGTCTCGGGTCGGCCGCGACCGCCGGCAGTTTTCTGTCTGCGTTCGTGACTGTTGGCCGATGTCCGAGCATACTGATAGTGTATTTTGATAGGTGAATCGTTTTCCTTTTCCGGCGGTATTCGCAATCACTGTGGACGACCTACCGCGGGGTCCGATTCGGTCTATCAGAGTCGGTGCGCTGGAACTAGCGTACCCTTATCCGCGCCTGTTATTTCCGTGCTGTATTTCTGCACTTGATGAGGACGAGTCTTTACGCTCCTGATTTGCTGTAGCGGTGGCTTGTTACGTCTGTTGTTTCCGTTGGGTGGCGAGCGGCCCTGTCGTGTTGTGTTCTCCTCTCCTCCTGGCGGTGGACCTGTGAAGCCTTGGTTCGGTCTGAGGCGGCGCCGGGCGACTGAACTCTGCGGCAGCCGCGCCAGGCCGGGCCCTCTGGTGGCGGCCTGCCCCCTCCCCTCCGAGACCCCCACCCCGGCCCCATCCCAGCGAACCCATAGAGCACGGCCAACCGCTGAGAGGCGCCGGCAGTGTTACGACCCCGGGCGGCGCCACCGGCCGCCCGCGTCATTACCTAGGTCTTTGACGAGACGTGCGCGCGCACGCCAACGAAATGTCGATTTCTTTTTTACTCTGTAGCATATTTGAAGGAGTGATTGGCTGGAAATATAACTAGCGGCGAGCGTGCGGAACGTGGAACTGGCGGTGTTTCTCCGTGTGTCAAATGGACAGACTGTGTGGAATTCCATCACACGCGGGATTAGGTGCGACACGGAGGGTTCTGTTCGCCTAAACTCGAAGCAGTTGAAATATCTCCATTCACGACACCAGACTGGCTAATTTCAGTATTTTTTAACCATAAGTCATAAATGTGTTAACCAGAAACAGATAGCATGGCCAGCGCAGCGCAACAACTGCAGTGACATTCCGTGACTTCATAGAGACAATACAGTCATTCATAGCTTGGAAGAATGCTGCAATGGATCACTCAACAGTCATAAATATCGCTCAATATTTAATCAAATCCGCACATTCAATGTGATCAGCACAATCACCAACAGGGAGCGAGCGGATCCTTTCCCCACTAATACCTTCCCTGAGTCACACACAATAATGACGCACAAATCAAAACCCTCCTGGCTATTATCCCTGAAGTACAATCGTTATGGCCAGCACAAAGTGCATCTGGTTATCTTGGTTACGGGTCTGATTAAGAAAATATAAATCAGAATCATCCCTCCCCCCCCCCCCCCAGAAGAACCTGTGTCTAACCTAACCAACCAATCAATAAATAAACCAGCGGGGTAAAAAAGGTAAAAAATTCTGCACAGCCAGTGGAATCAGTACATCTTGATCGACTAGGGACAACGCAGAGCAGTCAAAAGTACCGCACGAGCGTGAGATCACTACCGAGCCCGCCGGGAGGGAGGCGCTTACCGCCGGTCGGGCGTCCACTCCTCGTCACTGCCGCCGCTCTCCTCACTCTCCCCGTCCTCCCGTTCCTCCCGGTCCTCCCGCTCTGTCTCCTGGAGGAGGCGGCGCGGCGGCCGGCGGCTCCTAACGATCTCCAGGCTGATACGCCGCGGCCGCACGCCGGCCGGCGGCGGGGACGGGGAGCGGCGCGCCGGCTCGGGACGCGGCTCGGCCGCCCGCCGCTGCTCCTCGGCCGTCAGAGGCACCGGGTTACGGTGAAACGTCTGACGATGCACCTGAACGGGCGGGGAGTGGGCGGGGATCAGCACAAACCAGGGGGCGGCAGAGAGCAGATCAAATGAAAAAAAAACGGGGCTCAAACAGATCACTGAAACAAAGACAAGCGGAAGTACGGTTTCAGACTAGAGTAGGCTTACGGGCTGGGCTCGCGAAGCCAGGAGCTACGCAGTCCCGGACTCGTCCCCATATTGTCAGCTCACCGTCAGGTTTTTGATGTTGATGAAGCGACGCGGACAGAGGTCGCAGTAGACGCGCGTCTGGCCGTGCGACTTGAGGTGCCGCTCCAGGTAGGAGCGCAGCGCGAACTTCCGACCGCACTGGGCGCACACGTGCTCCCTCGCCGCTGTCGAGGGAGGTGGGGCACACATCAGACATCACAGCTGCAGATGAACCTGTCAATTATCTGAGGGTTGACACGTAGGGAACGAGCGTTCCAAAATAACAAGAATAGAGCAGGAGTTTTAAGGTCATAAAGAAAATCGAAAATACAGGTGTATAAAAAATGTATAAAAACACTACGGGTAACAGGCAACTCCCGAACAATTTAACCAGTAGCAACTGCCTACTGAAAGTAGTCAGATATGTTACATCAGTTTCGCTCGAGGGCACTCAGCATTGACCAGACGGTTAATCTCCAGTCCAGTGCAGACTGTACAGACAGTCATCTCCCCCGCCCAGCGCTGCCCTCCACAATCAGACAAGACTCCTGTCTCACCTTTGTGAATGGTCATGTGCTGTTTGAGCCACGCCTCCGTTTTGAACTCCTTCTGGCAGAGGTTGCAGCGGTGGGTGGGCGGCGGCTCGGCGCCGTGCGCCACACGCACATGTCTGGCCAGGTTATCGGCCCGGCTGAAGGTGGACGGACACAGGTGGCAGGCGAGCTTCGGCCGCTGGCTGTGCGTGCGCTGGTGCCGCCGCAGGTCGGCCCGTAGCAGGAACGTCCGGCCGCAGACGTCACACGCGCACCGAGCCGCCGTGTGCCGGCGCAGGTGGCCACGCGCGTTGGCAAAGTGCCGGAACGCGGCCGGGCAGGCGGAGCACTGGAACGGCCTCTCGCCCGTGTGGGACACCAGGTGGGCGCGCAGGCTGGTCTTGGAGCGCTGCGGCCGCTCGCAGACGATGCACGGGTAGCGCGACTGACGCCGGTCGGCCTCCGAGCGCACCGACAGGGAGGTGGCCAGCAGGGCCAGCGTGCGCGGCGCTCCGTGCTCGTCCATCCGGACCACCACGCGCGGCAGCAGGCCCTTGCCGCGGCCGCCCGCCCACGGCGTCCAGCTGCGCCTGGGGACCGGCGGGGCCGCAGCGGACTCGAGCGGAGGGACGCGCGCACCCTCCCCGGGCGGAGCCAGCCGCGCCGCCCCCGAGTCGCTGCGGCGGCGGTCCTCCGCGGCCGCCGGCGGGTCGTCCTCGCACGGCGAGGGAGCGCGCTCAGCCCGCGGACGGCTGAATCGTTTGGTTGGCGTCCGCGCCGGCTGCTCAGGTCGTTCGTCAGGCTCAGACACTGAGGTAGAGAGACGTACTTTGGAGCGGACAGCTCGACCGGACCTCGTCCGCATCACTCGCGGTTTGGTGAGCTTCACAGTAGGGGGCGCACCAGCACCATCGGCTTTCCGTCCTGGAGTCTCGTCATCCGCAGTCAGGCTGCCACTTGAGTGGCCGGGCTGAGGGTATTTTCTGGCACGAATCATTTCATTTTCACTGAAGGCGATCGCAAACCGGTGGGAAGTATCGGCAACAAATGTAGATTCTGATGGTACAACCACCCCCTCGTCCACTATGAGAGATTGTCCATCCTCTTCAGCGGCTTCCCTCGGAACATGTGTTTCACACACTGTCCTCTCACTGCTATCAATTGTCCTCACTGCACTTTCCCCATCAAGTTCAAAACCACCGTCTTCCTGGGGACGGTGGCTTGCAACTGTCTCCATCGTGCGATCTTCCCGATCCATTATCCTAGTAAGATCCTTCTGATCCACTGTCCTCGTACGATCCTCCCGATCCACTGTCCTCATTGTACGATCCTCCCGATCCACTGTCCTCGCACGGTCCTCCCGATCCACTGTCCTTATCACACGATCCTCCTTCCTCACCGTCGCCACACTTTCCCTCTGTTTCACTGTCCTCATCCCACGACCCTCCTGCTTCACTGCCACTTCGCCCTCCTCCTTCGCTGCACTCTGGTGACGGTCCTCCAAACACACCCTACCCGTCCCATCGTCCTCAGCACGCACCATCGAATACACCAACGCCACCTGTTCTGGGTGAGCCACTGTCTCAGTAACCATCTGCTCCGAGTGAGCCACTGTCTCAGCAGCCACCTGCTCCGAGTGAGCAACTGTCTCAATCAGCACCTGCTCTGGGTGAGCCACTGTCTCAGCAGCCACATGCTCCGAGTGAGCAACTGTCTCAATCAGCACCTGCTCTGGGTGAGCCACTGTCTCAGCAGCCACCCGCTCCGGGTGAGCCACTGTCTCAGTAACCACCTGCTCCGAGTGAGCCACTGCCTCATTCATTCTCTGCTGATGTTGGAGGACCAACTCAATCCTTGTCTGGTTCTGCTGAGCCGCCGCCCAAGTCACTACTCGCTTTGGGCGAGCCGCCGTCCCTGTCATTCTCTGCATGTGCCGGACCGCCGTCTCGGTAACAGTTTGATCCTGCAGTACCGCCGTCCCGATAATCACCTGTTCCTGTTCAGCAGCCATTCCCTCAGTCACCAGGGGGACCTCCGGCGCTCCCTCCGGTGCTCTCTCCGGCTCTCCCTCAGGTGCTCTCTCCGGCTCTCCCTCAGGTGCTCTCTCCGGCGCTCTCTCCGGCGCTCCCTCCGGTGCTCTCTCCGGCGCTCCCTCCGGTGCTCTCTCCGGCTCTGTCGCCGCGTCCCTCCCAGCTGCCGGCTCCATGAGATCACCGTGTTCGGCCGTCAAGACTCCTTCCCTCGCCAGTGGGTAGCTGCTGACCTCAACCCCACTGACCGCGGCTGGGTCCGGACCGGCGGGTACCGCCTCCTGAGAGGTCGCCGGCGGCGGCGGCTGCGGGGCGGCGTCGGCCGGCGGGGGGAGCTCGGTGAGCACCAGAGGCGCTCCGCCCTCCCCGGCCCCGGTCAGGGTCAGAGCGGACAGGGTGCGCCCATCGGCCGACCCGGGCTCCGCCGGCGCCGCGCCGCCCGGGACCGCCACCAGAGTGACGGCTCCCGTCTCCGGGGCCTTCACCAGGGAGAAGCTGGTGACGGGCTCACAGGGGGCGGACGGCTGGGCGGGCAGCAGTACCCACGGGGGCGCCGGTGGGGCTGCCGGCGGGGCCTGCTCTCCGCGCGCCATTCTCACCTCCTCGGCGGTCGCCCGCCGACCTATGGTCCGGCGGCGGTACCGCTGCACCGGCGCAGACACAGACGGCGGCAGCGCGAGCCGCACAGTCGGCGGAGGCGGGGGCGGGGGCGGGGGCGGCAGCAGGAGCAGCGGCAGACCGGCCGCGCCGCCGCCCATAACCAGCACGGGAGCGGACAACAGCAGCGGCCGCTCCACCACCTCCACGGTCCCCACCACCCCGACTGGTACCGGCTGGCCGACCGGTACCTCAGGGCCGGCCGGTACCGCCTGCTCGGGCGGCGCGGCGGCACGCTCCAGTTCCTCCCGGCTCTCGGTGACGTGTTCGGGCGTGTCGAGAGGACACCGCTCCACGAACTGCACCTCGACGCGCGGCTCGGTGAGGTCTCCGTCGGCCGGGACCGGCTCGGTGAGGTCTCCGTCCACCGGGACCGGCTCGGGCTCGGCGGCCAGCTCGGCCGTCAGCTCAGCGCCAGGCTGCGCCTGTTTGACGCCCGGCCTGGCCAGCGGCAGCCGGCCGAACACGGCCAGCAGCTCCGGGTCGTAGCGGCCCGTCGGCACCATAGCCAGCAGCCGGCGCAGCTGGCGCTGCCGCTCCGCCAGCGCTGGCGGCAGCGGCGCCGCCTCGGCCGGCCCGGGCAGCACGTGCATCTGAGAACAACCCGGACCGGGCCCGGTGTCAGACCGACGGCGGGGAGCGGAGGGTCAGCCGGGATACCGGCGGGACTCGTGATATCGGTATAGGGCGGCAATGTCTTCAGAGAACAAAATGGAAGACTGAAACATCCATTGCTAGACCCAGAGAATATCAGCATTAACAAGCACGGCTTTATTACTCTGGTAAAACATGCTCCCGAGCTATCAAAAGGGGCAGCGTCACCAGTGCCATCTGCCAATTTGTATGCTATAACTACCCTCTACCCTTATAAGTGAACATATCGGCGAGCAGAGCTCGCAGCTGTTGGCCGTCGGGTGTGTATACTCACATCCAGAATGTTCTTTTTCCTCCTGCCCGTGATGGCCGGCAGCACCAGTCCGTGTTTCTTCAGCACGTGCCGCTTCAGGTCGACGCTGTGGTTGTACGTCTGGCGGCACAGCGAGCACATCCAGCGCTTCCAGTTGGCGTGTCGGCTGACCAGGTGGCGCTGCAGGTTATCCACGGCGCGGAAGGCGGCCGGGCAGAGCGGGCAGCGGCGCGGCGCCACCGGGCCGCCGCCAGGGCCGCCGGCGCGCCCGCCGTGCATGGTGTCCAGGTGGCGGTGCAGCGCGCCGCGCCGACTGAACACGGCGCCACACGCGTCACACAGCACCGAGCGCGGCGCGCGCAGGTGCACCGTGGACACGTGCGTGGCCAGCTTGGAGCGGTTCGGGAACGGGGCGGCGCAGTACGGGCACGGCACGCTGAAACAGGGCCGGACAGGTATCTGTCATACATAAACGGGAGGGGGGGGGGGGCTCAGGGAACTGGGACTGGGTGACGGGTGAGAAAGGACATTGGAGGTTGGACAGAGGGAGAGGTCAGCGGTAAACACTTAACGGGGGACGGAAGATTGACTCATGGGGAATTAACACTAGCAGTGGCCCAATGGCCCATATATCAGTGTCTTACACGCGCTTGGAGACACAGATGCGTTCCATGACATGTCTTTGGAGTGCCTCCACTCGTTGGAACGTCCTGAAGCAGTCCTTACAGCTGTTGGTTGCCTCGTCCATGTGAAACTCCAGAAGGTGTCTGCAGAGAGAGCTCTGATCAGTTGAGGCATACAAATTGGTACACAGAACTAATCTGCCTCCAGTATTTCATCTTCGAGCATTTATTTCACTGTAGGTATTCCATAAATGGGTAAATATATGAGTAAAGCTGCACAATGCACATTCCAGTTACACTTTGGCTCTGCTGGGGCAGCTGGTTGTGTTGAAAGAGGTTGTGTCATGAGCTAAGTGATCTTGGAATCATCTACTGCTTTGTCTCACTAGTTGTGCTTAACAAATACAAATTGCATAAATTCCACAGCTGAGGGACACCTAAGGCATCTTTTGATTTCATGAACAGCTGTTATTAATTATGAACATTAATATTTATACGTACATCTTTAATTGCGTTGCAGTGGGGAAGATAAGTTGACAGTGGTCACAGCTATGACTTCCTGATTTGGAGGCAGCAGGTGTCTTGTCTGGCAGTTCCTTCACAATTCTTATGCGGACCATCTTCTCTGAGTTCCCTGGAGTTTGTTCAGTTTTCACGGACATTGCCTGGGTATCCAAATGCTGTCATTCACTTTTCTGGTTTCCCTGTCAGTTACATATGATCCAATACAATCATTAGGACACAAATATTTTGCCCCTTTGTTCAATCAAGCTTAGCCTGCACCCTGCAGCCTGCAGAGGGGTCCTGGCTGGATTTCCACACCAGCTCTGGCTCTCTGGGAATGTTTTACCACCTCCCTCTAACTCAGCTCCTGCAATTTGGAAGAGCGTCAAAAATAAGTAAAGCTACTTTCCACGTCAAACTTTTATAATTTTCTACAAACCAACACATAGCTCAGGAATGTATGATGATACAGCACTGGAGAAAAGCTCATTTGATAGCCCTTTGAGGGGGGCGACACGGCTATTCGCGCAATGTATTAAGTTATGGGCCGCGCGGGGCCTCGCAATGACGCGGCTGGAGGCAACTGCTCAGCGCGCTAGGATACTTCTGGCGGGGCCGGGCACTGAACGGTGTGCAATGAATGGGTTATGGGCGGGCAGACAGAGATGAGGTATTAAATTTGAATTGACAGCAATCGGGTGGGGAAGGAGAACGTTTCTAATCGAGCTTGGGATGGGGAAAGCCGAAAATGTCACGATCGGCTCAAAGCTCCGACAGGGCCGGGTGCCGTACCATTGTGTAGTATATTTAGGCGGGCAGACAGAGATGAGTTATTAGATTTAAATTCACCTTACCATCGGTTTCTGGGGGGTTTGAAGACGTTTTTAGTCAAGCTCGGGGCAACCCACTGGCGGATCCAGGGGAAGGCATTTGGGGCAAATGTCTTCCCCCACAACCGGGGACCGGGGTGGCGCCCGAAATCGCTTTTCGAGAATAAAAGAAAACTTCACAACTTTTCTGAGGAAATATTGGTTAATCACACTGCACAGCAGTGCGCTAGGAATCGAAATCCGAGTTTTTTATTAATTCGGAGAAACCTTTTTAGGGTAGGCCCCCGCAGTGTCCAAGACCGCCCTTTTCCACCCTTTTCATCGTCTGAATTCAATAAGAATTGTTGCTTGAATTTGAATAGGAATTGCCACTCATCCCTACCCTATTTACTGGCTGAAAAGCAATTCGAATTTGAATTATATCTTGATCTACACTACAACTGTTGAGTAGCGAAGCTACATCCTTATTTCCGAAGCGATAAAATTCCAAAAATTACATCAACGCTTAAATCATCATGAGCATTATTGCACAAACGATTTCCCACCTTCAGTATCAAAATTCAATCAACAGAATTGACAAAAATTACATAAATAAAGACCACACCATGCAAAAAACAAAACCCCGCCTCTTTGCAACAATGCGCCATTATTTGACTAGGCAGCGTATTATTTGACTTACTTAGCGCTGCCATATTCCTTCATTTTACCTACACACTTTCCTTCATCGTAGGAATAACACGTTGATGAATATTGATATGATATTGAGGATTGACGCGCTAAATTACGTGGCGAAATAAGTGAATGGCGATGAAAGGAAGGAGAAGAAAAACTGGGCAAATTGCCGCAGCCGGTCAATTTTCAGTTAGCGAAATTGGCTGAAGGTCAAAATGTTCATTTCTATCACAAAATCAGCGTAGAAGCCTCAGAGAGCGATAAAAACACCGTACCTATCTCTTCCGTCGTCTGAGGACGGTTAACGGAGAAATGTCCAAGGACCGATAAAGGGCTTAAAAGGTCCAGCCTAATCACCTGGTCACTTACTTTCAAAAGAGCATCTCTGAAAAGAATTCAGAACTCAGAACTTATTTCTCCCAGGAGACCAACCTCATCATCGTCATTCCGCTTTGCCAGCCACGTCAGCATGTTTCGGAAGTCGTCTGCGCCGCCGGTGATCAGCTCCGACGTGGTGACCTTCCGTTGACCCTGCGACCTTCTCTCTGTTCATGCCTGGTGGCGCTAACTCAAAGCGGCCGGGCAGCCGAGGACAAGGGGCGGCCGTCTCGTGTGCGGCGCTCACTCTGAGTCTGCCGGCCGGCTGACCGGAGACGGGCGCTGAGTGCCGGCCGCGCCAGAAAACCCGCAGCTGCTCTCCGTGGTGTACCTATGTCGACTTTGCTGACGTCGGCAACATTGCACTGACAACTGACAAGGCTTCTGCACGTCAGTCATTGCAAAACATTTAAATCAAATTGACCGAGACCGGACGTTCAAAGTTTCTAATACAAATTTTTTTTACATGCGTACTAAGTACTAACCTACTTACATTATTATAAATGCTAGAGACGGTAGGCATCTATACAGAACCATGTCCAATCCCAGAAGTTTGACATGATCTACCTTCCCTTCTCTCTCCCTCCCTCACCTCCTCTCCCTCCGTTCTCCCCGAGCTGTTCTCCGTACCGTCCGCCCCCACCTGTGATCCGTCACGTACCGGTCGGTGCGTGCGTCCGGCTGCTGTCCGCCGGTGGTCAGTCCGTCTGACCGATCGTCAGTCCGTCTGACCGATCGTCAGTCCGTCTGACCGATGGACAGTGGTCGCCGTTTGCCGGCACACAGACGGGACTCGGGACAGAGAGCCCGTGTCCGGTCAGGGGAGCCGCGCGGGGTCGGTCAGTGGGACGAATTATGCCAGCAGTGTCGGAAAGGGTCGCGTCTGAACGAGACCGGCCGGACACGCAGTCGTCTATAGGTGAACTGTCCCAGCCTGAGCCGTCCCTCCCCACTCTAAAGACACCCGTCTCTCTCCCATCCCGTCCTCTCGGCCCTTCCGCACTCTCAGCTGTCCCACTCCTGCAACCGTCCCGTCCCGTCCCACTCTCAGCTGTCCCACCACCCCTAGCCGTCCCGTCCCGACCCACTCCCAGCTGTCCCACTCCCAGCTGTCCCACCCCTAGCCGTCCCGTCCCTCCCACTCCCAGCTGTCCCACTCTCAGCTGTCCGCACTCTCAGCAATCCCGTCCCACTCTCACCTGTCCGCACTCTCAGCTGTCCCACTCCCAGACCGTCCCGTCCCGTCCCGCTCTCAGCTGTCCCACCCCTATAGCCGTCCCGTCCCACTCTCAGCTGTCCCACCCCTAGCCGTCCCGTCCCGTCCCACTCCCAGCTGTCCCACTCTCAGCTGTCCCACTTCCAACCGTCCCGTCCCGTCCCACTCTCAGCTGTCCACTCCCAGCAATCCCGTCCCACTCTCAGCTGTCCCACTCCCAGAAATCCCGTCCCACTCTCAGCTGTCCCACTCCCAGCAATCCCGTCCCGTCTCACTCTCAGCTGTCCCGCTCCCAACAATCCCGTCCCACTCTCAGCTGTCCCACTCCCAGCAATCCCGTCCCGTCCCGCTCCCAGCTGTCCCACTCCCAACCGTCCCGTCCCGTCCCACTCTCAGCTGTCCCACTCCCAGCTGTCCCACCCCTAGCCGTCCCGTCCCGTCCCATCCCACTCTCAGCTGTCCCACTCCCAACCGTCCCGTCCCCTCCCGCTCCCCCCTCCGGCGCGGTGGGAGGAGCGGGGGCCGGGCGGCTGCCGTGTGAAAGGGTCCGCGCCGTAATAACGCAATCACCGGAGCTCCGGCGGAGTCGGCGGCGGATGGGTGTGGGTGGGTGCAGCGCTGCCGGCGCGGGGTCGGCGCCGCGCCGCCGGACACGGACACGGCGGGTCCGGACTGCGCGCGCTCCGGCTGCTCAGACTATACCGAGATGTCAGAAAATAGCTTCGTTTTATCATCTATCTTGATGTGGATTGCGATTGAGCTCATTTAGATTTATGTTCGGCGAAACCTAAATTTAGCTTGGGCCTTGGCTACATGAAACATGTAGCGCTAATAATGCAGGGCGTTATATCCGCTGAGACTCGCATGTGTGCGGCGTTTGCCAGCTTCTAATGTGTAGGGGGGGGGAGGGGGTCGGTTGGACCCCCCCTTGCCGTTTGGCCCCTGATCGAGCTAGAGCTTCGCGGAAAAAACGAGCGTGTTGCCCGTCACGAGAGGAAGCCGATGATACCCAATTTTAAGGTCCTAGGTCATTGGTTGACCTTCCAGGTCAGGTCAATGACCCAAAGTCGGGAAAATCGGGACCTGTTAGAAAGTCGTAAAGTGTGGCTGCTAAGGGGTTTTCGGGGTGCTGATCACGAATATCGTGTTAGTTTTGATCACAGATGATGTCTTTAAGCATTTAGACCAGGTCGGGTCAGGTCAGGTCAGGTCAACCAGTAGGCGTCGTGACGGGTATTCGTAGTACGTGTCAACCGCCTCTGACAGCTTCGTAACATGTTACGAAGGCACCAAAACTACTTCGTAAATGTTCAAATGGTTGCTAAATTCGAATTCAGCTCCAAAAACTAGCCTAGAAACATGTACAGCTCGAAAAAGTGAGCCGAGGTCACCCGAGGTCACCAAAGGTCAATGACCTGACCTGACCTTTAGGTGACCTTGACACCCACCCTAATGCATGGAAGCAACATCAAATCACATGTTTGAACGTTTGAAACCACGAAAAGCTTGCAAACGCGCGGCTAATGCGAGCCGACATACGCAGAATCGCGATTCCGGCCAAACATGGTCTCGGAAAAGAGGTCACAGGTCAAAGGTCATTTGGGTCAGGGTCATGAAATTTTCAGGGTAGGTGTAAAATTGATCAATGTGAGGGTACTGAAAGTTTCGTCGCGATCTGCCGCTTTTTACGTGAGTTATTCGCGAAAAACCATGGGGGGGTCCATCCGACCCCCCCCCCCCCCCTACACATGCGATGCGACCACAGCTGTTGTTGCGCCAAGAAGTCATAAATGGGATATTTAGAAAAAAAAAACTGTCGTATGTTTGTCATCCGTCGGCAAGAGTTGCACAGTCCGGCTGTCCAAGCTCACTGCCCAGTGTCCCTCGCCGTCTTTCGTGTGAGTTATAATGCACCGGCCACGGCAGACGGCGGCGGCTGCAGATCTAACAACTGCTGCGACACAACATCAGAGGCAGCCGCTAAAAATACAGTCTCCGCCATCGACCGACGGGATGGTGGGGCGCACATCACACATACATGCTGGCTGCTGCCTACATATATTCACCGGTACATACATGCACCGGTGAATATAGGTACCTAATTATATACGGTACAGCCCTTTTAGTGCAAATGGACTTCAATTGAACACAATTAGATAGCATTTACTGTGCAGGTGCACATTAGGATTATGAAGAAAACATGTTGCTCTCTTTCTCTCCTATTCTCTTTCCATCGCTCTCCCTCCCTCGCTCTTCCTCCGTCCCCTCTCTCCCTCGCTCACCCTAGTATCGGAGCCCGCCTCCGATCCTACCTAGTTCGCGGAGGGGGAGGCCCTGCACCCGTTCCGTGCTTCTATCCTCAGGATACTGAAATCCTTCTCCTCCACGCCGCAACCCCCTCCGGGCTGGACAGGCAATTCTCATGCGGGCTGCTCCCTTGGAGCGGCACCGCTGCTCGCGACGGAGCGCACCCCTTAGCCGGGTGCAGTGAGTACTTTGGGGCTGGTCGCTGGTCGGCCTGTCCTTCGGGACCAGGCTCAGCCCCGGTGACTCACTAGGGTGCCTGCCCAGACCAATGTCTCCCCTAATTCCTATCATCCTTCCGGCTCTGAAATGGTTTAAATGGACCGAAAGGGCCTAACCCAACCAAACAAACAAAAGGCCCTGCAGCTAACAGCTCGGGAGGCCGATGAAGGTCACTGCCCGACAGCAGCCGGGAGGGGAGGGAGGTCCCATCGGACAGCAGGGGAGGGGAGGTCCCCAGCGAGCCATGACGCCGACACACCACCCTGGAGAGCAATAACGCTCACCAACTGAGTGCTCGGGGACAGATGAGATTTGACGGTTTCAAAACAACGAGCCGGTTTGTTTTGAGAGCCGAGCCGCCATCGTGCTTAGGACGTTCAAAGCACTAGACTAGTTCAAAGGTTGCAGCCAAAGAAGAAAAAAGCGTCTGGTACGGCTCTCGGCTGGTTACCAACTAAGTACTAATGAACAATTACTTTCTTTTGATTTATCAAGTGTTAAGAGGAGATGTTTGTTGTAACCAATACGCATAATTTTTCAGAATAAATCGTACTCATAAGTATGTTTTCCCTGAAAACCACCAAGACAGGTAATGTTATTCGTATCTGATAAGATAAGCGAGCCGTATAAATTGTGCAGATCAATCAATTACCAGAGCTGAAAGCGTTACGTTTAATTATCATTATGCATTTGCCTATTACAAGTAAGTTCGACCTAATTTTCGTGCAACTTATATCTCATGTTAATATAACTATAGGTATTCGGGTAGACTAGTAAGCTTCCATATTTTTAATTAGCATTCTAATGGATAGCCAATATAGGTACCAAACTATACAATATACCTACAATACATGCTACTCACAAAATATGTCATATCCGTCGTCCTTTTCTGCGTGAGCTTCTGCATCGAAGCTATCTCAATGCGCACATGTCCCACATCGACCATACACATATACGTTACGCCGCTCTCGTTAGACAGCGGCGTGCACTGAGCTGGCCCTGGCAGGCTCCTCCAGAAGACATACCACGTACATACGAGAGACACCTCTCTGCAACCCACACAAGGCCAGTGGCTCTCGACCAAGGACGAAGCTGCAGCTATCGTATAGTCACTGCACTGCGTGGTCATTATTTTACAAAAGTATACACGATCCGGCCTTTGGTGACGGTTTTACACCCGTCTCGCCGCACCACCATGGTTCGCCGAGTTGACGGACTAAATACGAGTACGGCCGGCGATCCGCCGTCTTCGCTATAAAGCACACGATACACTATATGCAGTCGCTCCCATGGAGCCCCCTTGCCGTCCTACCGGAGCGACTAGCCGCGGTTCCCGTGCCGCCCCACTGGAAATCCCCTTCAGCCCCACTAGAGCTCCCCTGCCGCCCCACAGGAGCTCCCCTTTCAGCCCCACTAGAGCTCCCCTGCCGCCCCACAGGAGCCCCCTTTCAGCCCTACTAGAGCTCCCCTGCCGCCCCACAGGAGCTCCCCTTTCAGCCCTAGAGCAGCGAGTTGGGCGGGTGCACGTGTATGGTGTGCGTCACCAGACTGTCGGCCGAGCGGGTTTTGCGCGCGGCCGCCAGCGCGCAGGCGTCGCGCGCGTGCGAGAGCAGCCGCGACGTGGACTGCGAGTGCTGGCAGGCCATGCTGCCGCGGCCGTGCGGACAGTGCACCATGGGGATCAGCGGCGAGTGCAGCCGACTGAAGGCCAGCGCCGGACTGGCGTCCATCAGCAGACCGCCCTTCTGCCAGAGAGACGGGGACACACGGAGAGACAGGGACGGGTCAGACGTACCCTGTCAGATGGGGACGGGCACTATGAGCACTGACCACTGCGCACTGAGCAGACCGCCCTTTTGCTCGGACACACGGAGAGACGGGGGACGGGTCAGACTGAGACGGAGAGGGGCTCAACGACCAGTCACGACCGGATCGGTACCTAACAAATGGTACACGGCACAGAGCAGGGGGAGCATTTCGGTCGCACGTCTTCATAAGTTGCTTTTCACCAAGTCGTAATTACCTACTTCCAGCTGCGAATCAAGCTACGCTTCTTCGTTGGATCGGCTACTTAAGCCCAAAGTAACCGTTTAACTCGAATTAAAGATTATCCTATCGTAAACACGTCTATTCAGCCTGTAATGTGGCTATCCACTAACCTGTGACGTTGGGTCGTTATAATCGGGAAGATATGGCTCCAGCATTCTTATCTTTCCCCACCTGTAAAATGAATATCTGTCACCGATTTGAAACGGGCAGGACAGCATTAAGTACACGTGCATAATGGACTGCTGAATATCCTGTGCGAATGCAATATAGTTCGACGTTTATTCACTGTCCGCATATGGTCTCCTTCTATTGCGATCTCAGACTCCATTTTGCACTGACTGACCTGTGCGCACAAAGCGTCTCTCCATTCCCTCCCCACCTGTGCACGCAGAGCAGGATGGCGGCCACCCAGATGACCAGTGCGGACGCCACCAGGACCATCTCCTCGGGCCGGACGGGGCCGGCGGCGATCGGTGGGACGACCTCTGACCGCTCCGCCGACCGGTCACCGCCCGCCGGCCCGTCCGTCAGGTTCACTGCAAGGCGGGGACACGGGTCAGCTCAGCGACCTCAGCCACCGTGGTCGTATTGAGGTGACGGACATATTTCTTTTTCGCGTGTGTTGAATTTTTAGAATATCTGCATAAATAAATAACCACATATGTAAGGTGAAAACTAATCGGAATTTCTATGCTCAAACCAATTTCGGAATGTCATCAATCGATTAGCGAAGCGACAGAAACTACATGATTCTCTATCTAATATCCAGCTGGTATCATCTGCCGTCGTTCAGTATCCACTCTCCGATGAGTCCCGGCCCAGCCATCCCTCGGTCCGGGCCAGTCCCACCCCAGCCATCACTCAGTCCGGTCCGGGCCAGTCCCACCCTTGGCACCACTCTGTTCGGTCCGGCCCGGGCCAGTCGGGCGGGCCGGGACAGATGGCCGGCGGCAGATCATGTCGCATGACACGGGTCATCGGAAAGGCGATCGATGGGGTGTGCCGTGATACGTCGCGGTCAACAGGGCGACCGAGCGAGTCCACACCGCTAACTCACGGTCACAGAACAGCGGAAATCACAGCGGTCACAAAGGTCACATCAGAGGGAACACATGGTGAACTCACGGGCGGCTCATGGGGGAAAGTCACAAAGGCCACACGGGATAATCAAACAAAACAGTTACAGAGTTTATACAGGGTATTACCATCACTCCTGTCTCCTACATCACTTAGGTAATTACCTAAACTTGAGAGATAAGGAATCATGCACCGATTGAAGCGGAGATGGAAATAAAGTAAAACATATCCCATTAAGGTGAGCAGTTAAAAGATGCGTAGCAACTGCAGTGCGGTAAAACGCAACGAAAGAACCTGAGCAATATGAAGATAGCCGTGCAGTTCACTTGATCGGTGTTATTCGACCCTGGGGAAATTTGGGACCTTCCCGTACTATTTGTGCAGTGGATGATCAGATAGGCACGGTGATCTTTATAATCGGATTAATGGACTGTTACTTAACCTGAGTACCTTCGGAATATTCAGGCCGCAGACGACTGTCACGAGACGGGCATATTTTGTGGATTTTTGGAGACGTGCTGACGCGAGGGTGGCGCGCTTACTCGGAATGCTGTGCATTCAGACAGACTCACTGTATTGTGACAGGCTGACCGCTGACATGGTACTCTGACCTAATCTACAGGATCCGCTGCAATATCCGATGTCCCGATCCGGATCCGCTGTCTGAAGTATTAAGTTCTTAGATGGAGGACTATTTTTGAGCGGTTTGACTAGTAGCGGCGGAACACCGGACCCTCAATTAAGGCGGGTACTGCCGACTTTTGGCCCCATTCTTTCCATGCAACGCCCATAGGCCTAATGTTAAAACGCCAAAATCAAAGGGGGGCATGGTGCCGCGGTGCCCTCCCCGTTCCGCCGCCTATGGGTTTAAGGTTTCTGTAGTCTCAGATCATCAATATCGTGGCGTTTGTGGGATAAGTGACAATTTAAATTAGCAGGGTGCATTGTTAATAATCAGATATTAACCTTTTCGAGTTAGCCCTAGAAGAAATGTCAATTGCACGCATCTGCCACTGTCACTGAAAGTGAACTAACCGTAAAGAAGTAAATCAAACAGCACTGCAGCTGATTCGTTTCAGCGCCACTGAGAGGGTAGACTGCGCCGCAGAGCATGGCGGCGTGCGGTACAGCCTACGTACGCAGGCAAGTCTGCGGCGGATAGCCGCGTAACGGCCGGGTAACGCCGAGCGTAAAATGTATAGCAGTAAGCAGACGCATGCATAACACTCCCTCAACAAGAAGCCAATGTATAACGAGTGATTTCACCCACGTCAATTTATGCGGGCCAGCACTCGGCATCCTCTGGCTTCCCGCCGCAAAGGTGCGAGAACGACCTACCATAAACAATACCCACCTTCTCGGGAATATTTATCCATTCTATGCGAACGGCACGTTAGACAGCAGTGTTCGTTACACCCCGGGCGGCGCTGGGCCGTACCTGGCATTGTCCAGGTGTCGCACGCCGGCAGAGGGAGGCTCATGGACGCCCCCGGGCGGGGACGGGGCCGGCCGGCCGGTCGGCGCCGTCCGCTCACACCGCGCTGACCACTACTGTCTGCTGACTGACCTCCTGTAACGGCGGCTGGGTGTCTGGCCTGTAACAGCGGCGAGTCAGACACTAGCCCGAGACGACCAGCCCCTCACAGTTACAGGGTCGCAGACACTGGCACTAGTTAGGGACGGGCAGGCCCTTACAGTGACAGGGTCGTAGACACAGACACGGGGCGGAGACTTTGATGAGGCGATAAGCTCGAGAACACTTTAAACGCCACGCTGTTCGCTTTAAGTGGCTATAACCATCGATGATGTAACTAACGCTGTTATTCTGTTTGTTTTTAGTAAAGCTAGATGAGGTGTGCTGCTGGGTAGGTGTATGCTAATAGCCGATTTTATGAGCATCACAATTCACATATTAAACAAATACCTACTTGTTTTAAACGTTTTATCACTTTACGCCAAGCAACATAAAATACCGTTTAAACTACGTGCGTGAAGTTAGCGTCGTATTCCGCGACGGATTCAGCGTCGAGTCCGAATTTCAACTAAACCCAACCTATCCGTTGCAGTTTGGGACGCTGATTCCGAATATCGTATTCATTTCAAATTTCAAGGTCATCTTCAAGGTCAAATCACGGATTGAAATTGAGTCCCCGATTTTTCCTACACCGATCGTCCAATCCGATTTCTGAAGGTCGCATTCGAAAGCTAGGGCCAGAATCTCGAATTCCCTAATATATACCTTATTAAAAATATTTGACCTTAAAGGTCAAATCACGGATTGAAATTTTGAGTCCCCTATTTTTTCTACACTGATCGTCCGATCCAATTTCTGATGGTCGCATTCGATAGCTAGGGTCAGAATCTCGAGTTCCCTAATATATACCTTATTAAAAATATTTGACCTTAAAGGTCAAATCACTGATTAAAATTTTGAGTCCCCCAATTTTTTCTACACCGATCGTCCGATCCGATTTCTGATGGTCGCATTCGATAGCTAGGGTCAGAATCTCGAGTTCCCTAATATATACCTTATTTAAAATATTTGACCTTAAAGGTCAAATCACGGATATTCGACCTTAAAGGTCACATCACGGATTGAAATTTTGAGTCCCCCGATTATTTCTTCACCGATCGTCCGATCCGATTTCTGAAGGTCGCATTCGATAGCTAGGGTCAGAATCTCGAATTCCCTAATATATACCTTATTAAAAATATTTGACCTTAAAGGTCAAATCACGGATTGAAATTTTGAGTCCCCCTATTTTTTCTACACCGATCGTCCGATCCAATTTCTGATGGTCGCATTCGATAGCTAGGGTCAGCATCTCGAGTTCCCTAATACATACCTTATTAAAAATATTTGACCTTAAAGGTCAAATCACGGATTGAAATTTTGAGTCCCCCTATTTTTTCTACACCGATCGTCCGATCCAATTTCTGATGGTCGCATTCGATAGCTAGGGTCAGAATCTCGAGTTCCCTGATATATACCTTATAAAAAATATTTGACCTTAAAGGTCAAATCACGGATTGAAATTTTGAGTCCCCCTATTTTTTCTACACCGATCGTCCGATCCAATTTCTGATGGTCGCATTCGATAGCTAGGGTCAGAATCTCGAGTTCCCTAATATATACCTTATTAAAAATATTTGACCTTAAAGGTCAAAGCACGGATTGAAATTTTGAGTCCCCCTATTTTTTCTACACCGATCGTCCGATCCAATTTCCGATGGTCGCATTCGATAGCTAGGGTCAGCATCTCGAGTTCCCTAATACATACCTTATTAAAAATATTTGACCTTAAAGGTCAAATCACGGATTAAAATTTTGAGTCCCCCAATTTTTTCTACACCGATCGTCCGATCCGATTTCTGATGGTCGCATTCGATAGCTAGGGTCAGAATCTCGAGTTCCCTAATATATACCTTATTTAAAATATTTGACCTTAAAGGTCAAATCACGGATATTCGACCTTAAAGGTCACATCACGGATTGAAATTTTGAGTCCCCCGATTATTTCTTCACCGATCGTCCGATCCGATTTCTGAAGTTCGCATTCGATAGCTAGGGTCAGAATCTCGAATTCCCTAATATATACCTTATTAAAAATATTTGACCTTAAAGGTCAAATCACGGATTGAAATTTTGAGTCCCCCTATTTTTTCTACACCGATCGTCCGATCCAATTTCTGATGGTCGCATTCGATAGCTAGGGTCAGCATCTCGAGTTCCCTAATACATACCTTATTAAAAATATTTGACCTTAAAGGTCAAATCACGGATTGAAATTTTGAGTCCCCCTATTTTTTCTACACCGATCGTCCGATCCAATTTCTGATGGTCGCATTCGATAGCTAGGGTCAGAATCTCGAGTTCCCTGATATATACCTTAGAAAAAATATTTGACCTTAAAGGTCAAATCACGGATTGAAATTTTGAGTCCCCCTATTTTTTCTACACCGATCGTCCGATCCAATTTCTGATGGTCGCATTCGATAGCTAGGGTCAGAATCTCGAGTTCCCTAATATATACCTTATTAAAAATATTTGACCTTAAAGGTCAAAGCACGGATTGAAATTTTGAGTCCCCCTATTTTTTCTACACCGATCGTCCGATCCAATTTCCGATGGTCGCATTCGATAGCTAGGGTCAGCATCTCGAGTTCCCTAATACATACCTTATTAAAAATATTTGACCTTAAAGGTCAAATCACGGATTGAAATTTTGAGTCACCCTATTTTTTCTACACCGATCGTCCGATCCAATTTCTGATGGTCGCATTCGATAGCTAGGGTCAGAATCTCGAGTTCCCTGATATATACCTTATAAAAAAATATTTGACCTTAAAGGTCAAATCACGGATTGAAATTTTGAGTCCCCCTATTTTTTCTACACCGATCGTCCGATCCAATTTCTGATGGTCGCATTCGATAGCTAGGGTCAGAATCTCGAGTTCCCTAATATATACCTTATTAAAAATATTTGACCTTAAAGGTCAAAGCACGGATTGAAATTTTGAGTCCCCTTATTTTTTCTACACCGATCGTCCGATCCAATTTCTGATGGTCGCATTCGATAGCTAGGGTCAGCATCTCGAGTTCCCTAATACATACCTTATTAAAAATATTTGACCTTAAAGGTCAAATTACGGATTGAAATTTTGAGTCCCCTTTTTTTCTACACCGATCGTTTAATCCAATTTCGGATAGCCGCATTCGATAGCTAGGGTCAGAATCTCGAGTTCTCTAATATATACCTTATCAAAAATATTTGACCTTAAAGGTCAAATCACGGATTGAAATTTTGAGTCCCCCTATTTTTTTACACCGATCGTCCGATCCAGTTTTTGATGGTCGCATTCGATAGCTAGAGTCAGAATCTCGAGTTCCCTAATATATACCTTATTAAAAATATTTGACCTTAAAGGTCAAATCACGGATTGAAATTTTGAGTCCCCGAATTTTTTCTACACCGATCGTCCGATCCGATTTCTGATGGTCGCATTCGATAGCTAGGGTCAGAATCTCGAGTTCCCTAACATATACTTTATTAAAAATATTTGACCTTAAAGGTCAAATCACGGATTGAAATTTTGAGTCCCCCTATTTTTTCTACACCGATCGTCCGATCCAATTTCTGATGGTCGCATTCGATAGCTAGGGTCAGAATCTCGAGTTCCCTTATATATACATTATTAAAAATATTTGTCCTTAAAGGTCAAATCACGGATTGAAATTTTGAGTCCCCCTATTTTTTCTACACCGATCGTCTGATCCAATTTTTGATGGTCGCATTCGATAGCTAGGGTCAGAATCTCGAGTTCCCTAATACATACCTTATTAAAAATATTTGACCTTAAAGGTTAAAGGACTCAAAATTTCAATCCGTGATTTACCTTTAAGGTCAAATATTTTTAATAAGGTATATATTAGGGAACTCGAGATTCTGACCCTAGCTATCGAATGCGACCATCAGATATTGGATCGGACGATCGGTGTAGAAAAAATAGGGGAACTCAAAATTTCAATCCGTGATTTGACCTTTAAGGTCAAATATTTTTAATAAGTATATATTAGGGAACTCGAGATTCTGACCCTAGCTATCGAATGCGACCATCAGAAATTGGATCGGACGATCGGTGTAGAAAAAATCGGGGGACTCAAAATTTCAATCCGTGATTTGACCTTTAAGGTCAAATATTTTTAATAAGGTATATATTAGGGAATTCGAGATTCTGACCCTAGCTATCGAATGCGACCTTCAGAAATTGGATCGGACGATCGGTGTAGAAAAAATCGGGGGAACCAAAATTTCAATCCGTGATGTGACCTTTAAGGTCGAATATCCGTGATTTGACCTTTAAGGTCAAATATTTTTAAAAAGATATATATTAGGGAACTCGTGATTCTGACCCTAGCTATCGAATGCGACCATCAGAAATCGGATCGGACGATCGGTGTAGAAAAAAAATGGGGACTCAAAATTTCAATCCGTGATTTGACCTTTAAGGTCAAAATTTTTTAATAAGGTATATATTAGGGAACTCGAGATTCTGACCCTAGCTATCGAATGCGACCATCAGAAATTGGATCGGACGATCGGTGTAGAAAAAAATAGGGGGACTCAAAATTTCAATCCGTGATTTGACCTTTGAGGTCAAATATTTTTAATAAGGTATATATTAGGGAACTCGAGATTCTGACCCTAGCTATCGAATGCGACCATCAGAAATTGGATCGGACGATCGGTGTAGAAAAAATAGGAGGACTCAAAATTTCAATCCGTGATTTGACCTTTAAGGTCAAATATTTTTAATAAGGTATATATTAGGGAATTCGAGATTCTGACCCTAGCTATCGAATGCGACCTTCAGAAATCGGATCGGACGATCGGTGTAGAAAAAAAAACGGGGGACTCAAAATTTCAATCCGTGATGTGACCTTTAAGGTCGAATATCCGTGATTTGACCTTTAAGGTCAAATATTTTTAGTAAGGTTTATATTAGGGAACTCGAGATTCTGACCCTAGCTATCGAATGCGACCATCAGAAATCGGATCGGACGATCGGTGTAGAAAAAATAGGGGGACTCAAAATTTCAATCCGTGATTTGACCTTTAAGGTCAAATATTTTTAATAAGGTATATATTAGGGAACTCGAGATTCTGACCCTAGCTATCGAATGCGACCATCAGAAATTGGATCGAACGATCGGTGTAGAAAAAATAGGGGGACTCAAAATTTCAATTCGTGATTTGACCTTTAAGGTCAAATATTTTTAATAAGATATATATTAGGGAACTCGAGATTCTGACCCTAGCTATCGAATGCGACCATCAGAAATTGGATCGGACGATCGGTGTAGAAAAATTAGGGGGACTCAAAATTTCAATCCGTGATTTGACCTTTAAGGTCAAATATTTTTAATAAGGTATGTATTAGGGAACTCGAGATTCTGACCCTAGCTATCGAATGCGACCATCAGAAATCGGATCCGACGATCGGTGTAGAAAAAATTGGGGACTCAAAATTTTAATCCGTGATTTGACCTTTAAGGTCAAATATTTTTAATAAGGTATATATTAGGGAACTCGAGATTCTGACCCTAGCTATCGAATGCGTTCATCAGAAATTGGATCGGACGATCGGTGTAGAAAAAATAGGGGGACTCAAAATTTCAATCCGTGATTTGACCTTTAAGGTCAAATATTTTTAATAAGGTATATATTAGGGAATTCGAGATTCTGACCCTAGCTTTCGAATGCGACCTTCAGAAATCGGATCGGACGATCGGTGTAGGAAAAATCGGGGACTCAATTTCAATCCGTGATTTGACCTTGAAGATGACCTTGAAATTTGAAATGAATACGATATTCGGAATCAGCGTCCCAAACTGCATCGGATAGGTTGGGTTTAGTTGAAATTCGGACTCGACGCTGAATCCGTCGCGGAATACGACGCTAACTTCACGGACGTGTTTAAACTACGATCATGTTTTGATGTTTTCTTTGCCCTATTTATCTACAAACGAGTGCAGTCAGTAAGCTAAGGTATAGGTAGGGTAAGGTGCCTAATTAGCAACCCTTTCCGATTTGCGACCTACCTCCCTACAGAAAAACTGGCAGGAGAAAACGGGTCAAAAGGTCAGCTATACTTTGGTTATCAAATTCAATTATTTTCCGGTCGTCGATGTTTCTGGTGAGACGTTTCAGGTAAGTTTAAGTAAAAATGACGAGTTTCTTATCCAAAACGTGTGTGTTTAGGCCCTCTCCAATGAAAAGCGATGCACATTAGGATGATGCATCTTTTTTATTCTGAATCGACATTCCTTTTTTAATTGATTGCCGTTTTCCCATAGTGAATCACTCAACTGTGCACAGCATGGCGGTTAAAAATGTTTCGCAACTCATATTTCCTATTTGCGCCTGACATGGTCGCAAATAGCTCAAGAAGGGAAAGAAAGGGGAAAGAGGGAAATGAAAATGAGGTGTTGCTGAAGCTTGCAATGTGTGGCAGGGGATGCCAAATGTCGTCACCGACTGCAGGGGTGCCGAATTCAGCGCGGACCTCGAATATCAAACAAGATAGCCCGCAAAATTTGGGTTTCCGCCTTCTTTTCGCCTTCGGTGCATCACGTGATCAGTTTTTACTTACGTAAATGTGTTGGATAAACGTTCCTGTTCGAGTGATTGAGTGCTTTGCGCATAGGTTACCTTTTTGAGATCATATTTCATATTTTCAGGCGTCGCATTTTTTGCCATTTTTAATATGGGGAAACCCATAGACTTATTAGCGACCCTCCCCGGTCGCTAATCAGGAAGAGTTCCCTATTAGCGTTTTTTTTTTGCAATGGTTTGCCAAAATGCTCACTACAAATAAGTTAGTGAATATTGGGGCATAAAATGACTATATTTTAATAGAAAAATGAACGATCTCTCCGAAAATCAAGCCAGTAACACAATGGCACCCACAGAGCGTGAGCAATGACGGTTCAAATTAAGGGGGTCGCTAATTAGGCACCTTACCCTACGATTGTAATGCTCCAGTTTTCAGCTATTAAATTGCCCTTTCTTTCTACCTCTTGTATCTGCTCCTACAGGCTAGATTTCGTATGACCGCGTGCCTTTACCTATTTAGAGGATATACGCCGTGGCAAAAAAGTACGGTATGTTGACTTACGTAATGCGAGGCCATGCGTCGTCGCGTAAATGCGTAGACACACATGCACACCACCGCAGGGCCCACCTAGTTAGTCCGGTGCCGGGAATACCGACAGTTATGAGCCGGCCTATCGGATGACACTTAGGGCAGACGACACGCAGTTAATGACGTCATCAGACGTCGCTAATTGGCACGAGATTGGTCAACAAATGACTCGTGACACCGCCTACTTTGTAGGTATCTGCGCTGTGCGCACATAGGCTACCGGTGCCCACCTTATCGTAGCGTGCGTTTTTCACTGGCAACCGTAACATTACATACAAATTCCCGAGACATAGGTACTCGTATGTACAGAGGTGACTCGTACATCGGTGACTGGTGTACGCCGAGAGGTGCCAGCTTCATTCCTTTACTGTTTAACGAATACCGTTATAGTCTTAGCTGAAATTCAGCACATGACACGGTCCCGTTCAAAACAAACCCACTGAATATCAGAAGTCACCATAAAATAAAACCACGTAAAGCTAACTTTCACCTAAAAGGCACCAATTATCTCCACCACCTCACGATAAGCTCCGCTCGCCGGCTCTGCAGGCCCAGCTCCCGCACCTGTTTCGGCCGCCGTCGGTGCCGGCGCCGGTCGTCCCTGCGCTGTCCGTTCAGAGGTCGGTCTCAGTCAGCCCATGGCACCCCTGTCCGGCCCAGCCACCACCTGTTGTGCTGCGCGCCGACACTGGCCGTCACCGGCCGTCCCCCGGCCGTCGGCGGCGGCTCCGACGCGCGCACCCCGGCCCTCTCACCTGCCGCCGGGGGGGGGGGGGGGGGCTCCTGCCGGGGACGCCGCGGGCTTTGAGTGGTTTTGCTGGTCGGCCGGGCCGGAGTGGATAGTCGGCCCGTACGACTGTATATACGCCGGTCGGCAGTCACTCAGCGGGGCGGTAGTTGAGTTAGGAGTGCTCACTCGCCACTATCGATCCAATGCTGAAGGAGAGGCTCAGACGACGGTGTACGGGAACTTTGTGGGCCGCGACAACCGCAGTCGGGTTGGGGTAGGACGGCGGCGCAGGCCACCGATCTCGGCCACCGGCCTCGACTGTCATCAACTGCCGTCGATACACTGAACGTTATGAACGATACGCACCTTAGTACACATATGAATGTTTGCACAGGTCCACTGGTCTTATACTCTGCCTCTGTGGACAAATTCAACTGACTCTTCCCGTCCTCGAGCCTCGCAACGGTATCAGCCGCTGAGCCGAAAGTCAGGCTCTGTGCCGCCCTTCAGCCGTCGCCGAGCGCGACAGGAATGCAGATTACGGTGTAACCAGGAAGCAGTCCGACTGCCAATCCAGAATGGTTCGGCTGCGCTCTGACGTAATGGGTAAATTCTCGTCACTCAAGACGTGGGACGTGGGACGTGGGACGTGGGACGTGGGACGTGGCCGGGTGACATGGGCCGGTATGCATAGCCAGTGCACTGGAGGCCCCCCGGGCCATGCATATGACTCGCAGCTCCCGGGACTCGGGCCGGCGGCGTCATATTTCGGCACATTGATTTGAGCATCGGCCGCTGGGCACGAAGAAGCGCGACGTCCATGTCCCATGCATAAATACATACATTAACCGTATATCTATACCACTGGTCCATGGCCATTGGCCATAAGCATGAAGCAATCGTTAGTCGCGAGTCGTAAAAGCTCGAGTAGTTATCAGTTCATGATGAAATAATGCTTCAAAAGTTGGCAGATCTCTGAATGATCTTTGGACACCGCTCTCTGAAAGCAATATAAGTAGGTACCAATAATCTGCCGGGACCAGTAAGTTCCTTTGAATGATTGAAGCTGCCGAGTAGGTACCTATATAATATTTCGAGAACCGTCCGTGACACGCATAAATTAGTCCTGGGACCTTAGCGTCCTGCCGTGCAAATGCTTCCTGAAATGGTTCACTTAAACAATGTTCAATGAACTGTCTACATTTTACTTGTCAAAGCGTGAAATAGCGGCTGCAGACACTGAACTAACATGAATGTTACGAAGTGAAACATGGACTAATGACATTCCTGGGATATACGGTCCTACGCCCTACGGTAATGATACTCGTGGAAGACTTACATAATGCACACAATGGTGGAGCACGCCGACACGACCAGACTGCCTGGTTTGGTTCCTCGTTGGCCGGGTAATCCCCGGTGCAGATGGGCGCTCCGTTTCCCTGATCCGCCGCGTCCCAATGTCCGTCCGGCGGCGCCCGCATCCGGGCTCCGCGGAAGGCCGTGCCACCGACACATGTCGTCCATTTAACCGGCGGCGCGGTCTACTGGCAGGGATCCGCCCCGCTCAGAGAACGAGAAGGTCGGCCGAGCTGGCGTCTTATCGTAATTAGACGCGGCAGCGGCGGGGGCGCGGCCGCGGGGATTTGGCGGCGCTGATTGCCCGGGCGGTGATGAGGCGGCGCTCCGACCGACCGCGGCCACCGGTCACCGGATATTGGTCACCGAACCGTGACGGCTGGCGTCATCCGGCCCAGGCGTACCGACAGAGCCGAGTCTGTGCAGACAGGGGAATGTCAACGGTTCAGCTCTGACGGAGACCTAAACCCACTCACTCCAACGTCTACCGTCGCCGTAAAATGAATAATTCACTTTTTGAATTTCAGTTATTCTGCTGTTCCAGCGAAATAAGTTTTCGACTGATACTCGCTCGACTGTTACAACACTAACAGCTCGGGCATTAGGTGACTGGTACAACATTGACAGCTTGGGCATTAGGTAGCTAAAAGCCTATGCTGCAGAACTGTTTTCACCGGGCTATTTCATTCATAAATTGTTAGCAACATCGTCGCTCATCATCACCTTCAAGCCAAAAAGAATAAAATTCGCTATACCTCCAAAAGTAGGACCATGCGCCACAACCAACGACGAGACCACGAACCGCCCGGCTCGCACTGCAGGACAGGGAAGCTTTGCGGGTTGCCTACCCATCAGGCGCTCAGCGTGTACTGCAGGCTGCCTATCTATCAGGCGTTCAGCGTGTATGTACTGCGGGCTGCCTACCCATCAGGCGCTCAGCGTGTACTGCGGGCTGCCTACCCATCAGGCGCTCAGCGTGTACTGCGGGCTGCCTACCCATCAGGCGCTCAGCGTGTACTGCGGGCTGCCTACCCATCAGGCGCTCAGCGTGTACTGCGGGCTGCCTACCCATCAGGCGCTCAGCGTGTACTGCGGGCTGCCTACCCATCAGGCGCTCAGCGTGTACTGCGGGCTGCCTACCCATCAGGCGTTCAGCGCGCGTACTGCGGGCTGCCTACCCATCAGGCGCTCAGCGTGTACTGCGGGCTGCCTACCCATCAGGCGTTCAGCGCGCGTACTGCGGGCTGCCTACCCATCAGGCGCTCAGCGTGTACTGCGGGCTGCCTACCCATCAGGCGTTCAGCGTGTACTGCGGGCTGCCTACCCATCAGGCGCTCAGCGTGTACTGCGGGCTGCCTATCCATCAGGCGCTCAGCGCGTGTACTGCGGGCTGCCTACCCATCAGGCGCTCAGCGTGTATTGCGGGCTGCCTACCCATCAGGCGTTCAGCGCGTGTACTGCGGTCTGCCTATCCATCAGGCGTTCAGCGTGTACTGCGGGCTGCCTACCCATCAGGTGTTCAGCGTGTACTGCGGGCTGCCTACCCATCAGGCGCTCAGCGTGTACTGCGGGCTGCCTACCCATCAGGCGTTCAGCGTGTACTGCGGGCTGCCTACCCATCAGGCGTTCAACGTGTACTGCGGGCTGCCTACCCATCAGGCGCTCAGCGCGTTTAGTGTGAATAGGTCCGACTGAGCGACGATACAAGCAACACACAGCTCAGTCGCGTCTCAGTCGAGCAATAGTGCAGCTCCGTGTGGGTCACGGCAGTATCAGCAGTATCAGAGATAACACATTTTGAAAGGCCACACCCCCTTCGGCCGACCGCCACACCCCTCGACACATGACACGCCCGGCCGCGGCAGCAGCCGAGTGACGAGGTGATACAGTATCACATCACGGCTAATTAAAAACTGTCGTGATATGCCATTTTGCTGGCAGACCTATGATCGACAATATCGCCGCCTCACGAACGATAGCGTTTGATATGGGCGCTTCCTGTACAAAAGTATCTAACTGGCGCTTACGTTGTGTGCACTGCACTATGAACCATTTACGGTAAGTACCATTTCGTAGGTTCACAGTCGATGTGTACGGGTCTCCACCCAGAGTTCGCAGGTCTTCAGCCGCTCGCTGAGCTCGAACCAGTCGAACACAGTGCCGGCCGGATCCAGCGGACGGTCCGCCAGCTCGTTGAACGTCGGACCCGTCACCTGGAACTCGTCGCTGTCGATGACGGCCAGGGCGGTGTGGGGCCGTCGCCGGGGCTCGGCCCGGCCGCCCGCCGCGCAGCGGTGTCGCGCCGGCGCCGACCGACCACGCTCCGGGTCGCGGTACTCAAAGAACGCCGACGAGCCGTTGACGCGGCGCAGCAGGGCGTTCTTGCGGCGCTCCTTGGGTCCGCTGAAGCGGGCGGCGGCCGGATCGGGCGGTCGGTGAGGCGCCGCCGGTCTCCGCAGCGTCACCGACCGTCGCGGCCGCTGCGGCCGGCCGGCGTCACCGCAGAACTCAGCCCTGAGCTCGGCGGGCCCCGGGTCCCTCTGAGCAGCGCCGTCCAGGGCTGCGAACACTGCGGCGAACTCTGGTGACATCTCGGCCGGCCGGCGGCAGGCCTCCAGCAGACTCAGTTTGGAGGAGAGTTGGTGCAGGTGGTGCCTCCCGCCGTCCCTCCCCTCCCCCGTCATCGGCGGCGGGGGAGGCGGCGGGGGCGGTGGCGGCGTCTGCGGCCACAGCTCGGCGTGCTCTGACCAGCAGTCGGAGAGCTCCGACACGGGACTGACGGGCAGCAGCGCCAGCGAGGAGGTCTCCGACAGCACCTCGTCCACGTGCCGGATCCGCCGAGACGAGGGCGGCCACACCGGACACGACGAGGTCAGCGTGGAGCGCCGCGAGCCCTCACCGCCGGCCGGCAGCTGCAGCGGCGGCACCGGAGCCGCCGCCGGCCGCGGGCTCACCTCAGTGGGCGGCCGGGGCGACAGCGGTGTGGAGAGGGAGGGCGACTCCGAGTCCCCGCGACCGGCAGGGGCGCGCTGCGCGGCGGCCAGCAGGCGCGCGTGCAGAGGCTGCTCTGCTCTGTCCCGTGGGCTGCTCCGCAGAGACGAGTCGTCACCCGCCGAGGAGGGCACCTGGAGAGTCGAGGACGAGGACGTCTTCTCCGACCTGGTCGATCCCGTCGCCCGGCCCGACTGGGAGGGTGACGTCCCGTCCGACCTCGACGGCGCAGAGCGGCTCGAGAGCGACATTGTCCTCTCTGCAACATGTGATGGCTCCCGGTAAACGGTGACTAAAATATGTAATTAAATGGCTCAGCTTCCTCGCATCATTCACGCTAGGGTCGATCAGCTCCATCGACGAACTGATAATAACCGAACTTATCAATACAAGACATTCTTCGACGAAGTTGGTGAGCTTGTACGATTGTCAATGCCTTCCACTATCCAAAGCTGCGCAGTGCAGACTTACGGTTGTTCGAGTGAGTCAACAATACATACCAACTCGGAATAACTATCGGCGTGTTTCTACACGGCTTTCAACCGTCCAACGGGAGTAAATAGGCCGCTGACAGATCAGTTCACTCGGCAATCTCAGCTGCGGAAGGTCGAAGGCCGCTGACTGTGACTGTTTGGTGTGGAGTGGGACTGCCCTTCCTGGGACGGCGTACCTGGCGTATTGACCAAACAGCCGGTGAGCGCGCCAGCCGGCGGGGATACGGAGCCGGGTCGGTGGAGGAACATCGACCCCGGACGACGGTGCACCGGCCGCGTCCCGCTCCTGTCTGGTGGATCGGTCGAGTGCCCCTCTGTCCGGTGTCTGCCCCGTCCGGCCGCATCCCGCTCCTGTCTGGTGGATCGGTCGTGTGCCTGTCTGTGCGGTGTCTGCCCCGTCTGTCCGCATCCCGCTCCTGTCTGGTGGATCGGTCGTGTGCCTGTCTGTGCGGTGTCTGCCCCGTCTGTCCGCATCCCGCTCCTGTCTGGTGGATCGGTCGTGTGCCTGTCTGTGCGGTGTCTGCCCCGTCTGTCCGCATCCCGCTCCTGTCTGGTGGATCGGTCGTGTGCCTGTCTGTGCGGTGTCTGCCCCGTCTGTCCGCATCCCGCTCCTGTCTGGTGGATCGGTCGTGTGCCCCTCTGTCCGGTGTCTGCCCCGTCTGTCCGGATCCCTCGTCTGTCCGGTGTCTGTCCCCGTCTGTCCGGTGTCTGTCCCGTCTGTCCGGTGTCTGTCCCCGTCTGTCTGGTGTCTGTCCCTCTGTCCGGTGTCTGTCCCCTCTGTCCGGTGTGCCGGCCGTGCTCCCGTCTGTCCGATGTCTGCTCCCAGAACTGGAACAGCGCCACACCCGGCGGCACTTATTGGAGCGCGCTCAGCGCTGAGCGGCACCTACGGCCGCGTCCGATCGCGTGTGTGCAGCTGCTGGCAGTGCGTAATACCATTCCGGTGCAACTGACACGGCCCTAATAATACCCACTCAGACCTTTGTCCGGAGCCATCCAGTGTTACTTCAGCCTGTTTTTCGTCGTCGGCATCCCGCCTTAAAGTATCCGCTCGCAGGACGCATGCGATAAATCGTGCCTTATTGAATGCTCCTGGGGCACACCGGCCTCCCATGCCGTTGGAACGTGACCTGTTGGATGTGCCACGTGACTGGACTGGGTGATCAGCTGAGCACACACCGCTCGGACAGCCGCTCATCGGCCGGCTCTCCCGGGAGAGGGACAGAGAGTGCAGAGGATCCCCCTGGGACACGATCTCGTGATCCCCGCGAGGGCGACCAATATCAGAGCGTTACAGAGCTGCACGGCACACCCAGTCCCGTTCCCAAGCGTGTGCTCAAAATCTGGACGTATCGGAATGGTTCTCTTTGAACTTATCCCAGCGAATAGCTCAAAGTAACTGGTGAATAGCAGGAGTTTATTAGCATTATAATCGTCGTTTTAACTGCTATACTAGTAGTTGCTAATTGCTTGTGTTATTGGAAACATTTAATGAGCAGAGGCAAACCACTTTGAGCTGGCGAATACGAACCTTCAAGACCCGAACATAAACTTCAATTAAGCTTAGATTAAAAGCAGAAAGACGATTCCTTCAATCTCAGAAGACCGATGAAGTTGCACTCGGTGCAGCAGTGCCTTTTAATATCACTTGCCCTGTTAATGGTATTGCTTTCATCATCCGAGCCGCCTTCCCACCCCTCCCCTCTGCTCCCGTCATCGGCAGTAAGAGGCAATATATTTGATATACATATTGGCCAGGGCCACACCAATGATCTAAGGCTTCCGATTCAGTATTGACGTGCGTAGTTTATTGACATCGATATATTTACACTGGCCAGAAGCAAGCAATAATCACAGACAACTTTGGTTAGGTTGGTTAGTGCAAAGGCTGTTGAACGAGACAGCCTATGGCTAGCTTAGAAAAGAGTACAAAACAATTACTCGTTTCAAGTTCCCAGACAATGTCTAACGTTTCAGACACAACACTTCATGGAAACACAAAGACGGTACAATCACACACGAGTGGAAGTTCATTGGAACTTCCATGCGGCAAAGAACCCCGCGAGTAAACTCTCCATTCTCAGCTGTGACTTAGGCAGACCTTATTAAAACGACGAAGGCTGTTACAAAGCGAAACTCCACAGATCAGGCGTCACAAATGCCGCTCTCCTTTAACTTATCCAAGACTATAGCCTCATCTGAACACCACTGGCAGGGAAAGCTCAACTCACACACAGTCACTGGCGTTTGACTGATTCGCTATCGTCGGTCAGGCTGGCCAGGCGACTACAGACAGAGATGGAGCCCCCTGAGATATTTCCCAGCCTCGCTGTAACCGACCTCTATGCCATACTGATGTGGTGGCCTGCACCCCACAGGATCAAAATTCCACTCTGTGCACAGTAACGACACACGACGCAGTCGTGTGTCGTTAGCCTGCGGAACTGCACCGGAGCACAGAACATTTAACGCACACCGGCGACACGCGTCAGCCGCAGTTCAAGGTAGGCTCGTGTTTATCACGTCCAATAACCACAAATTCATGGAACCGGCTAATCAGCCTGTCGAGAGAACCACGCCTGGCCGGCCGTGGTTCCGGAACCGCACCTGGTCGCTGTTCCACAAACCGGGAGCTTTGATTGAGCGCCGCCGGCGGCACGGCGGGCATCAGAGAAGCCCCGGGGTAAATGGAGGCCGCGGTATTAATCCATCGTCTGGCTATTACGCTGCGGCTGTGTCACTAAAGGACAGGGACCGAGTCATAGTCTAACTTATGATACAGTAACATAGAACACTGAACAGTGAACAGTGGCCTAAGGTGACAACATTTCACCTGTCGGAGATGGAACAGTCGAACAACATAATTCGTATCGGTACGTTGCGATACGGCGCTCGCTCTGCAGCTATTAAAGGCTCGCTTTTGATGCCGCCAGGCCGTCTGTCAGACGCCAGGAAATCAATAACCGACTTCTCGGAGATGCCTTACCCAATGAAAATGTAGCCTAGTCCTGCAGAGAAACGATACACCAGGGCACATCACGACTTTATCGGAAGCGACTCGTCCACAGACGCTTGACGGATACAAATAACGCACCCATGCTCTGAAAGCATATAAACTTCAATGGGTAGTTTGAGTTCGTAAAACTTAACATGATCAGTGTTGATATTAAATCAAACTTAAGCTTTGCTCTCTTTGCCAAAATCAGCAGCCAAGACGCAAAATTTTACCGAATCGTAAATTGGTCTCCCACCAAATTTCCTGTACTGGCTCCACCAAACCGGCTGTGCGCGTTTCCAGCAGTCTGCACTAAAACGGACCAATTTTTACTGCTCTTCACAAGATGCGCTTGCTTCGGCGAATCATCCCGAGTACCGTCAGTATCCCTACATGCGCCCCAGCCCAATGGATCCGTCCCAGCTGTGCGGATCCTGTCCTACATGCGTCCCAATTCTGTGGATCCGTCCTCCAGGATGCTGCCCGTGTTCTCCAGTCGCGGCTTCACCAGGATCCGCAGGAAGCCGTCCACGTCGTTCAGCTGTTTGGAGTAGAATTTGGCGGCCAGCAGGTGCTCGCCGGCCGACCAGGGCACGATGGTGGCCACCGCCCGTACCGGCTCGTACGGACCGACAGTCCTGGGGGCGCACAGACAGATACAGGGGTCATAGAGGAAACACAAACATACACAGACACACAGGAGCCAGAGAAACACTGTCACTCGCAAAGACCAGTGAGTTCTGAGCGTAGGTTTACAGCGTCAGGGGAGCCGTTAGAGATCATAGAGTGGACTTAGTCAGAGGTAATTGCACACCTTATCGCTCATAAGTAGTAGATTAATACGGACAATGAGTCTGAAATAACAATACACCACCATTATATGCGTGGCAAATTAAAAAAAAGTCGTGACAAATACTAACATGCAAAATCATCACACGTTAACACAAATAAGTAATGAACGTGTGCACAATATCTCCCACCCGGCGGCGGTGACCGCATGCATAACGTACTTGTTGACTTTGATTTTGACGGGCTCGGTGAGGCCGCCTCCCTCCAGGAGGAACCGTCCGCGGGTCAGCCGGGTGGGCAGGGGGTTGTTGAACTCGGCTATCACTCGCAGCTCGGCGCCCACTGACGGGTGCCCGTCCAGCTGAGAAAGGAAGGTCAGGTGTCACATAAAAACAAACACACAAACAAATATATCACTGATACGTTAAGATCCCAACATAATGTACCCGCAGAAAGCAGGTAGCTTTGCCACAGTGAATGTCGCGTTATATGGTCACCCATTCTTCCAGTTCTTTGCCCACCTCTAAGCGAGAGTCCCCAACCCTTTGCCCACCTCTATCCGGATGTCGGGTTTGCGGACCCTGAAGTCGTCGCTGGCGAAGTACTCGTAGTCGGTGTCGAGGACGCTGACGATGGCCGCGATGCGGAAGGCGCTCTGGTCCACCAGCTGGTCGTAGTACTCGTCGTACGAGACCGGCATCGAGATCTCCTCCTCTGCCAGAGGCGGGGAGAGAAGTCAGACAGACATCGAGGTATCCTCCTCTGTTAGGGCGGGGAGAGGGGTGGGGGTCAGACAGAGAGACGGGTCCGGAGCGGGGAGAGACGATGACGTGATACACGGAGTAGAAGTAACTAGTACTGGAGAACAGACTCTCATCTTATCGCCATGTTGAGCGGATAATTATGACAAGAAGCTACAAAAATTGGCCGGCATGTATTGTGGAAAAAAGGCGATAATTTGGTTAGAACCTCAACCATTTAACAATGTACAACCAAATGTGGCGTAAAATATCGGTATGCACCACCGGCGCCGCTCACCGTTTCCGGGCTCCACCTGGAATCGGTAGTTGTTCTTTTTGACGAACTGGCCGGCCCGGCCGGTGTAGAGCTGTGTATCGACTCGGAGGTGAGCCGACACCGTGTACGGCCGGTCCTCGCTACGGTTCTCCACCCGCAGGGTCACACTGGGGGCGGGGGGGGGGGGGAGCGTCACTGTCAGACAGACGCCCACGTCTGGGCAGCGGTACGGAGCGATGGAGACACTCCGCCCGGGATCGGCTGTCTATCGCAGCACCCCGAGGGCAGACGAGTTCGGGTCACTTCCCGGGACACAGGTCGGCCCCATCGGATTAATTGCAGCTGATAAGGTCACACGAGAAATACGATAACGGAATAAAGCACAGAACTGGCTCATTAGACGTTGTAAGGACACATTAAACGGGGTCGTCCTCTTTATAATTAACTGGATGGCAGATAATTTTTCTATTAAGCTATGCACCGGCAAGCGACACAGCCCCGATGCCCACCGTCCCGCCGCCCTCCCCACCGCTCGGACCCGCGCGCCTCGGTCACTCACTGGAACGTCTGTCCGATGACGATGTCGTCGTTGAGGGCGAAGTCGCAGTGGATGTCCTCGAGCTCCTCGTTGAGGTAGAACCTGCTGAAGACGTGTCCCGTCTCGCGGAGCGCGTTCAGCATCGTCCGGCGCTCAACGTCTGTCTCTGTAGGGGGCGGGGGAGAACGGTCAATGGACAGGATTTGATTAATAGCGGTATTGTAGACGGTGTACGGCGAGTAACAGATTCTTTTAATTATCCCTCAAACATAATCGCCATGCAAAAAAAGAGCATATTTGGATAATAATTGAAAGGCTGAGCTTTCAATGGTCAATAAGAGATACTTGAGCGTGCTGTATCAGCAGTATTAATGATTACCTTCATCGTGTTTGTATTTGCTCGTCAGATCCTCGTGAGTCCATTCGCCCAGAGCTTTGGTGACCACCGCCTTGCCGACGCTGGGAACGAAGGCAGTGGTCACACCACGCGTCACGTCTTACCTTCTAGTTTATCCAAAAACATTAATTGGTAACCGAATCCCAAGAGGGCACAGGGTCAAATTCACAGGGGCATCTACCGCAAGACATGCGATAATTAGCAGCCAATCGGTCAACAGCAAAGACTCGAGAGATGGATCGACTCACTAACTAGTCGCCCTACATATTGAACAATCAACAAACTAGCGACCATCCAGTCAGCGAAGCCCCTCCACGTCTCCACACATCTCCCTGGGCATGCCGGCGGTCTGATTGATTACCCAATCGCCGTCCGTGCCCCAGAGCCGGCGGCGGCGAGCTCCACTCACTCTGCGCGCTCGGTGAGAAGCAGTTTGAGCGGCTGCCGCGGACCCGAGTACTTCCAGAACACCCGGTCCGCGTTCACCTCGGCGAACACAAAGCCCACGTCGAAGGCGCGCTTCACCTCGCCGTTCCGGACCGCCTGCAGCGCGCACGGGCCGCAGGCGTACCGGCCTGCGGCGGAACGGGGCGCACGGTGGGGCGGAGTGCCGACACGCGGGTCATAACAAGAATTGAGGGAGGGGGAGGCAGGGATAAGGAACAATATCGGTTTGATTTCTTAACAACAAAGCAAAGCAACAGCAACGCAGGACTACGCCGATAGCATTATAGATAGCATAAGCCGATAGCATAGACTCGGGCGATAGCATTAAGAGCCGAGAGGTACTGTGACTAAAGCAAAAATGCTTTTGCACCCATTGGCTATAATTATTTTGTACGTGTCTTGATAAATGAAATAAATTCATTTTATCTTTCTATTCTATCTACGCCCAATGCCGACTGAAGTATGTGCTCACTGCTCACGCTATTGAATAGGTATGAGAGCACCGGGGGTCCCAGCAACATCAATTCCAATTCATCGCAACATCAAATAAATCTAGGCATTGATTTCGATGAATCGATCATCCATACGAGTATATCGAATTCATCGGCAGATCGATGTCGGCCTGTGACGGTGACCCGCGATGGGCTCTCCGACTAACAATATCACACAGAACCGCCTGAAATGGAGCTGGGTTTCACGGCGGGTCACTGACCTTCGCTGACCTCCTGCGGCGTGGCGTCGAACGCCTGCCAGCCGCCGTAGCTGGACCGACTGGCGGTGCTCTCCAGATCCGGCCGCAGCATCCACGCCTCGTTCCACACGTGGAAATTCCTGCCCGTCAACGGCAAAGGTGAAAGGTGACTGGGTTAATTAATCATCACAGTCTAATTACCGAGGCTAGGGGAATTACACGCGGGAGGTAAATGAACAACGAACTAGTTAGTAAACGTTTAGAGAATAGCATTGGTATAAACCTTGATCTTTCACGCGTGAGATACGTATACATCTTGAACATCCTACTTAAATGAGTTCGACCAAACATATTTCTCGCCGTCTAAAGCGAAAGCGAAAATGTGGGCGAATATCCAAGTGCAATCCGCCTTTGGTAAGGAATTGCTATGTCTGCGCTGTTGCTCAATGGCGTCCTCGGTATTGCGTCTGTCCAGGAGACGTGGGGTGGCGAAAGAGGCTGGGTGGGCGCGGTACTGTCAGACTCGGTACCCTCTGCCCCCGTGGGGGCGGCCCACCAGTTGTAAGTCGGCCCGTCCCTGGGAGTACACCGAGCTCACGGCCGTCCCCCCTGTGAGCTATCCACCGTCCCTGCGATCTCACCAAGTGGAGTCCCTGTTGAGCCGCTCGATGGGCTCGCCCTCGCTGTCGTAGAACACGTCGATAGTGAGGCTGCCGTGGGTGTCGTGAGCCGACGAGTAGTTGGTCACCGGCCGGCACGGGATGCCCAGCGCCCGGCACACTGCCGCCAAAGAGAATGGGTCACACACACACACACTGTAAAAGGCCTCCGGCACTTCCGCGATTATTTACACCATCTTCTTAAATAAAACAAGACTATTTAAGAAAAACATGCAACGCCTGACTAGCCTGCCGTTGCAATGAGAAATCCCTTGTTTACCAGCCAATGCAACCAGTTACCCGAGCAGTCTCAGTGCTGTTTTTCCGCAGTGTTTAGCTCATAAGTTATCGCGGCAGGCCAGGACACGTCACTGTCTGAGGGAACCTGACAGCGCCGCCCGGCATTTCGCTGCCGAGTCCGGGGAATATTGGACACCCGGCCAGCCAGGAACAAAGGGCTGCCCAGAGGACGGCCGTTCCGACGCACGGTGGCAGCTCAGTGGCGACCACTTAGCATTAGACTAAGGAGCAACTGTGCAACGCACTAGGAGACGCTTACGACGTAAACAGGCCGAAACAAACAGACAGATTACGCTGCAATTGGAGAAGCGTAGTTGGATAACTCTTTAATTATTCCTAAAAAAAGAAGTAAGGTTTTTAAGTTCTTTGTTAGGCGCAGAGCTGTCAATGAAATAATGAAACAAATCTCTGCGTTCTTCTTTAAAGGGTTTTGAGCCGAGATCATTTGCATTTTAAAACGATCCTCAAAAGTACGAGAAGGTAACGCAAATACAGTCAAGTATGAACCAGCTCGTACCAACGTCAGGCCGCGGCCACTCCTGTCGTCGGACTCAATACTGTGCCGCGCTCACTCTCCCCAGAGCCATTCTCTCACATGTAGTGCTCTCTTTCTCAGAGTGAGAGTACTCTCTTTCTCACCGGTGGTGGAGACCCCGGCGAACACCCAGCACTGTCCGAACTTGACGGGCCGTCCGGTGCGGTGGTACTGCTGCAGAATCTGCACGGAGCCCTGCCACCGGGTGGGCGCCGTGCCGCCGGCGTACTCGCCGCTCCAGTTGCCCACCAGCACGCCGTCCTCGTCACAGTGGTTCACCTGAGGGAGAGGCACGCCGGGACACGTCACAGAGAGGGAAACCGGGACACGTCACAGAGGGACACCGTCCTCGTCACAGAGAAGGACACCGGGACACGTCACAGAGAAGGACACCGGTATACGTCACAGAGAGGGACACCGGGACACGTCACAGAGGGACACCGGGACAGACCCGTCACAGAGGGAAACCGGTACACGTCACAGAGGGGCACCGGTACACGTCACAGAGGGACATCGGGACACGTCACAGAGAGGGGCACCGGGACAGACACGTCACAGAGAGGGACACCGGGACAGACACGTCACAGAGGGACACCGGTACACGTCACAGAGAGGGACACCGGGACACGTCACAGAGAGGGGCACTGGGACACGTCACAGAGAGGGACACCGGGACACGTCACAGAGAGGGACACCGGGACACGTCACAGAGAGGGACACCGGGACACGTCACAGAGGGACACCGGGACACGTCACAGAGAGGGACACCAGGACACGTCACAGAGAGGGGCACTGGGACACGTCACAGAGAGGGACACCGGGACACGTCACAGAGAGGGACACCGGGACACGTCACAGAGAGGGACACCGGGACAGACACGTCACAGAGGGACACCGGTACACGTCACAGAGAGGGACACCGGGACACGTCACAGAGGGGGGCACCGGGACACGTCACAGAGAGGGGCACTGGGACACGTCACAGAGAGGGACACCGGTACACGTCACAGAGAGGGACACCGGGACACGTCACAGAGAGGGACACCGGGACACGTCACAGAGAGGGGCACTGGGACACGTCACAGAGAGGGACACCGGGACACGTCACAGAGAGGGACACTGGGACACGTCACAGAGAGGGGCACTGGGACACGTCACAGAGAGGGACACCGGGACACGTCACAGAGAAGGACACCGGGACACGTCACAGAGAGGGACACCGGGACACGTCACAGAGGGACACCGGTACAGACACGTCACAGAGAGGGACACCGGGACAGGCACGTCACAGCACGCTGTCCTCGTCGCAGTGGTTCACCTGTGTAGGAGGTACCGGGACACTCACAGGACGTCGTCCATATCACAGCGGTGCACCTGTCACATCGAGGTACAATACATCATCAAAGGTCACATACTGTCTACAAATACCAACTAAGGCTGAAACTGGAAGGTTATTTTAATGAGCGAACCGTTGAACATAAGCGGCTCAGAATAGGCTGGCACTGAGTTGAGAGCTCCATCAGACCTACACCTACGCGCCACTTGCTCTACCAAGACAGCTGAGTTACAGCGCCGCCCAGAGTCGTGCTCGTAACTGCCGGGGGCTCACGGCAGAGCTAACCAGAGATATAGGGCAGAGTTAAACAGGGGCCGGGGCAGCTGCCGCTGATCTTTGTTGACCAGCCGCCCGCTGACCCAGGGGACCAGGGGTAGAGCTACCAGTGACGACTGCTGACCCCGCCCACCCCGAGGCCGGGCAGGTGCTGGTGACAGATTCTGCTGAACAGCCGCCCGCCTACCCCTCCCCACCCCTTCATGTAGTGTTTATTGTCCGTGCATGTATCGCTGGGAGCCGGACATGGGCACATTCCAATAGACGACAGACGGTCCCCAGATGGATCAACACTGCAGCGTCAGCAGTGAACCGCCACAGAACATGGCCCCTGTTTGGGTATGGTCTCTGTACACAGATGTACAGAAGGGACGGTCCCCAGAAGGATAAACACTGCACAGCGACACCGGTGGCTCCAAACATGGCCCGTGTTTGGGTACACAGATGTCCAGAGGAGGACGGTCCCCAGAAGGATAAACACCGCAGCGCCGGCAGTAGCACCGAACATGGCCCCTGTTTGGGTACAGAGATGTGCAGAGAGGGCAGCATTGAGTATTGTGGTGACACCAGCTCACTGACCGGGTAAATAGGCAGCAGCGTGAAGGAGGGGAGATGCAACGTCTCCCAGTTGGCGACACATTAACTGTTTATACTTTTTGTGTTTGAACTGTGTGTTAATCACTGGAGACCAGTGATTCGCAAACAGCAAATGTGGGAATACATCCAAAAGGAGAAGACAATCCACCATCTAAAACCATGTACCGTGCCGGCGTTCGTGCAGTCTGTCACTACCGTCTGCCATCCAGTCTGTCAGCCTGTCATAGTCGGTTATCTGTCACTAACAGTTGGAGATGTTTATATCTTGCTGTGGACAGCCGTGACAGCTCGGATGGACCATTGCTTGGTGTCACTGCAATGCTCAATCAACGCATCCTGCAATTCGAACTGTTTGTCAGCGACTTCCTGCACGGCGATTCAATAATTGATACAGGAGCTCTACTGCCTCGGGCGATGATTCGATCCCTAGCCGTGCTACCTTGTCAGTTCGAGACTGACGACGCAATCTACAGTTTTCATGTACAGTTTTCACATCACGCCTTATCGTCCCTCACAGGCAGTCCACCACCAAAGGGCAGGGAGCAGTTTTCCAAATTTTAGCCCCCCCCCCCACCCAGGGCCTCACCATTGCTGAGACGGCTCGCACCACCAGCACGGGTCGGGTGGGGGTGACGTCTCACCATGGCTGAGACGGCTCGCACCACGAGCACGGGGTCGGCGCGGTCGGCCAGTCGGTTGCAGATGGCGCGCCCGACTACGGCCAGGCTGCAGTCGAGCACGTCCGCCTCGTACTGGCCGTAGCTCCAGGGACAGGGCCGCGGCCGGCTGTGGCTGCCGCGGTACAGCAGGCCCGCGTCCGACTCGACGTACTCGCGGCGCTCGGCCGGCTCCGGCAGGTACACGGCGTCCTCTGCAGGTACAGAGGACGAGGTACAGGACGGGGTACTGAGGAACACAGTACTACACAGGTACACAGCGCCCTCTGGGTACAGGACGGGGTACTGAGGTACACAGTACACAGGTACACGGCGTCCTCTGTACACAGGGCGGGGTACAGGACGGGGTACTGAGGTACACAGTACACAGGTACACGGCGACCTCTGGGTACAGGACGGGGCACTGAGGTACACAGGTACACGGCGTCCTCTGTACACAGGACGGGGTACTGAGGTACACAGGTACACGGCGTCCTCTGGGACACAGGACGGGGCACTGAGGTACACAGTACACAGGTACACGGCGTCCTCTGTACACAGGGCGGGGTACAGGACGGGGCACTGAGGTACACAGTACACAGGTACACAGCAACCTCTGGGTACACAGGACGGAGCACTGAAGTATACAGTACACAGGAACACGGCGTCTTCTGAGTACAGAATGGGGTACAGTGCATGGTACTGAGACACGCAGTACAGTGCAATTTCTGGTGCCAAGTCCGATAAGTATACACTGACACGCTGAGTATGCATTGTGTAAATATTCGCTGGACCATGACACTCGAGCGTTCCAATGAAGGTCCAGGGTCAGCCGTATTTACTCCGTAACCATTGCACAGAATGCACAAGCCTTGCCGGCGTTAAAGTAAATATACGGCACAGCGAAAATACTGCAACATGTTTCGTAAGGCTCAAAGACTTTGTATGTTAGGTCCCCCATACCGGATGTATGTGGTTGAAACATTTACGGAGACACATGCCACGATCAAGGCTGTCCAAATAACTTCTCAATACGAGTTTCTCCATCGCTCTCCGCCATTTGGAGGTCCAAGAGACTACCTACCTCTCAAGGATAGCTCTGTTTAGTCTCTCCGTCCCATTCGGAGGTCTATATAACCATACAGTGACGTCTCAGCGTCCCTCAGCCAATCGCCGCGCGGCTCCGCTGTGAACACTGCTCGCCGGCCTCACCTGAACACCACGGGTTGAACAGCATGTAGACGAGTGTGGGGTGGCTGTAGTTCAGCGAGTGGTCGCCCGTCCTCGTGTCCACCTCCAGACCAGAGGTCAAAAAAAGCTGTTCTGTGTCACCGGAGAATTTCCAGCACCCAAAGTGTGTCTCCCGAACTTTTGTCATTCCAGATTCAAAAATATGGGTGTGACTTATTCTCTCTTTCAGTCAGACGTCCGAAATAGGTAGAATCAGATTCAGATCAGAACACAGCTGGTCTATTGTCCGTCAATTTATATAACAGAGGAAAGGCTCGTACTCCAGGTCATCGAACTCATCAGCCGCGCCAACGAACTTGACATCAATCACATTTCACCCTTCAGCATCCATCACAACACAATATATCATCACACAACTTATCATTGCCTTCACATTCAGAAACCGAAGGCTTCCAAATTCGAACATCAGATCAGGCTGCCTTCCCATGCACCCACCTTTGTACAATATTCTGCTGTCAATCATGCGAGCTTCATTTACAAAAAAGCATGTAGGTACTCGAAAAACAAACACTACCATACAACAATAGCAAAAAATACCTGCATAGTTTATCCTCACGCTTTATCCAGAATGCGGTTCTGCTGTGGTGTGCGGAAACTGAGCGTCAACTCGTCAGTGGACAACAGAACGACGAAGAGATCTAAAGTAGAGATGTGAATCGGATACCAACTTTTTGGTGTACCGATACCAAACCGATACCAATTTGGTATTTGGCAGTTCAATTATAATATTCTGGTATTTTGTCAGCAGTACCAGTAAAAGTTTTTTTGGGGTGACAAACGAGCGAGCGAGCGTGTGAGCCTTGCACGTGCGGAATTGAGAGGCCAACGGACTACATCCAACTGACTTATGCACGGCACCCTCCCAACCGGTCTCATACGGCCGGCCGCTCCCACTCAGGAATTTCTATGTAACATGCGTAAGACTTAGCTCGCTGCGCTCGCTCTTAATGAATCCTCGCGTACAAGAGGCTGTGAAGTTAGTAAAAAAGGTATTTCTTTCGATTTCCCAAGTCGGTTCGGTTTTTGGTATTTGTTTTGGTATCGGTATGCCGATTTTCTGTAAATGACATCACAGCATGCAAACGCTGCGATGGAACTGGTTGTTCGATGGAAAGTCTCAGATCCAGCGAGTGCTGATGTACTGGTACAGGTCGTAGTGCGCTACTCTAACGAAAAACTGATGCTCGCGGACACTTCTTCTTGTGCTTCAACACCACAGAACTTTCCCCGTCGATCTTCGACTGTGTGTGTCTCCGCACGAAGTTAAAGTTTTCTCGCGGTGAGCGCACTACGGCCTGTATCAGTGCATCAGCACTCGCTAGATCTGGGCCGTTCCATCGAACCACCAGTTCCATCGCAGCGTTTGCATGCTTCAGGTTCCTGTGCTCCCCGAATACGTCCGCGACGACAGAGCCCATGCTCTCAACCACGCTTTCGCACGGCGAAATCAGCCACAGGCGGGTGACCAGGTTGATATACGGCTTGATGTCCTGTTCCGCACGCTGCCAGAGAATTTTGAACAGTTCCTGGTTGCCTAGATTTGGTTTGTTCATTCGTTCTGCGCGGATAACCTTGTATGAGGCCAGCATGGCATCCCGCATCCTTTCTGTAGAGCCTGTCTCAGGTATCAGGCCATCTGACCTAAGTCGATCGACGCTCTTCAGCATGTCATCGACGACCCCTGAGGTGGGTGATGACGAGAGCTGGTCCAGATCTGCCACCATCCGCACATGGGGCATGGCCTTGATCAGGCGCAGGTTGCTGGAGCCCTTCCGCTCACCGGCCTTGTTGACGCCCTCCTCCCGCCTGGCTGAGTGTCGGGCGAGCGCCTCAGTGAAGGTGATCACTTGCTCCACCTAGGAACATCAAAATTCCTTTTAAAAATTCGCAGATAACTTTCAATGCTTTAAATATTTTGTTGTTACATGTTACAAAGTAAAGTGCAATCTTGACGTGTTGTTGTTTGGTACAACGCAGGCACCCCGCAGGGAAATGAGCGCGCACGTAAGAGAACAAGTAAATCAGTTTATATAATACGCTCAAACAACTCGTACCATTACAATGAGCGCACGCATGCCCACGATTCGTTTTAAGCGAATTACTTCATAGTTGTTTATACATGAGAATTGAGAAACCATGAGTCATGACCCTAACCAATTACATCAAATATAACTGTTACTCATTTATGTGCCTTTGACAGATGGTTAAGCTGGTATTGTTTCCATGGGTAAAAATTGCTATGTGGTATGGCCGACTAGGGATACTTTTCTATTACCATTACCAAAATAGAAAGTCTAACTGGAGAAAAAAAAACGCTCACTGCAATACAAAACTTGGGAAAAGAGGTAAAATGTGTAAGAACACAAACGTAAAGTCAAAGACGATGTTAAAAACGTAGGGGTAATAAAACTCATCAAAACCAATGAATGAAACGACCAATGGCTGAGCCATGATGTGTGGGTAGCCAAAAACGAAGACCACGAGCCTATCGGCCTCGTAGTTGGCCAGGATATCTCTAAAAAGACGACGGTCGGTCGGGTCTCGCGGCACATATTACAACACATTCGTCGACAACTATCACTCGCTTCGCTTCTCACTCGCTGGCCTGGTCCCTAGTGCACTTTTAATCTAACAGCAAGCTGAGACACAGGCTAGCCAGACCAAGCATTTGGATGGATCCGGCCTCAAAACGCACCTAGAGGACACCAGGTGGCACTTACCTCTCTTGCGTGTAGCTTTGGGCGGTGTCTGGCGAAGTTCGGCCACAGTTCTGGCAGCTCCTCTTCGTCCGCCTCCTGCAGCATCTCGCTGATAGCCTGGGTACTCAAGGCACCTGACCTCTTGGGACGAACGGCCGCCTTCAGGGCACCTGCCATTGCCGTCAGCTTTCCCACCATGTCAGCGAAATCGCCCTGCCGCTCCCACGGCAGCTTCTGTAGGCTCTGCAGGTCCCGGCTGCCCGCCGCTAGCACCTGGTACACGTCCAGAAGCGCGGCCACCTGACCCCGGAAGCACACATCGTCTGCAAAGTCATGAAAAAACACTTGTCAATGTTACAATAAAAATGTACTTTCTTAGCCAGTTTTCTTCAAAAGTGACAAGATCACATCTTGTCAAATTTCATATTATAGCCTCCCCCCCCCCTCCTCGACACAATACGATAAACGTTCGACGAAAGTAAAAACGAAAGTTTAATGCATGGTAAAACAGAAGTACAAAAAAGTTGTGGAAGCCAAGTCGTTAGCTCACCTCTCAGTAGACGAAGGTCGTTCCTCAGTACTTCGATGGCATCTGGCCTTGCCGTCGACGTCCTGTACTCCGCTTCCAGACAGTGTAGATACGCGGGCATGTTGTACAGGAACGTCTTCAGGACGGCAGCGGCGTGGGGAGCGAACCGCGTCGTTGACCACAGGCGGGGGCACTTCTTCTTCAGCCCCAGCTTCTTCTGGGCGTTTCGGAGCAGCTCGCGGCCTTTTCCTGTCGTGTGCCTCTTAGTTACTCTTGTGATTGAGTTTACGACGGCCCACACCCAGAGGCACTTATCTTCATCTTTGGCAGAGTCCTCAGCCAGAGCAAGTAGGTGTGCTCCATCCCACAGCATGGGCACACAGGGCGACATCGACCTCTCGCGAACGTCCTCCTGCGTCTTCGCCAGCTGCTCCAAGAATTTGCTGGGCACTGACAGCCCGTGATACTGCCCGTCTGTGCATATGGCAGCGATCTGCTTGGGGCTTTTGATGCCGACGGCCGCCAGCGTTTTGATCCAGCCGTTGGCCAGTGATGTCCCATCGTGTTTCTTAACGACAGGTGCACCGACAACGAAGCTCTGAATGAGATGTCCGCTTGGAGCCTCGGGTACAACGGCCATGACAGCCGTTATATCTATGGTCCGGTGCTTCACTGTAACCTTGTCGGCCATGACGGCGACACATGCTGTTCTGGAGATGTGGCGGGTCAGCAGCTCGAGCACCTCCAGAAAGAACTCTCTGCGGAAGCGATTCATCTGCATGAAGCTGTGACCTATGTTCCCCATGTTCAGGCCGTTGATGTCCTGCAACGTAATCATCTTCTCAAACTGCAACTGCGGCATCGAGTGTTTGATTACGTGGTATGCAGTTCTGATGACCCTGTAGGACACAGACCCTTGCAACCTGGCTGCTTTCGCCTCCTTCTCACTGTCCCTTGTCTTCGCTTCGAGGCACCTTTTGTGTGTCTTGCTTATCAGGTGTTCTCTCACACTCTCCTTCAGCCGACTAAAGGCCGTTGGCATGACAGCTGGCTTAGGAAAGGATGTCCCAGTACTGAATTCGTACTTGATTAGGCCCGCTTTTCCTCCCTTACTCATGGTGTTGGAGGCATCGAAATCTGGTCGACAGACTGCACAGTAGACCAGATTATCGTCAGGAAGACAGATGATGTGGTTCTGCGCCGCTTTCTTCACGTCCGATATGTCGCGAGCGTGATGGAGTAGAGCGAAGTCATAAGCGCCTGTTGACGAGGCTTCGGCCGGAGGTGGTGCCTTCTCCCCGGCGTTCTTGACCAGATGGAACAAACGTTGCTGATCCTTCTCCAGGTTCGCGACTCGTGGCTCCAGTTGACACCCGTGCGGCTGAGCAGGAGCTATGACAGTCTCTGAAAACAGAAAGAGAAAGCACTTAATATAAACCAGTAAAATGTAATTTGGGGCGATAAACGAGCGACCAAGAGGGTGAGCTTTGCTTGTGCGGAATTGCAAAGGGGTACTTCCAACTGACTTGTGCACGGCACCCTACTAAGCGGTCTAAAGCAGTGTACCAAATTTGGGCGCAATCGGCCCAGCCGTTCTCGGGGTCTCGGAGCGGCACAATGCACTTACGCACGTGGAAAATTGGGCCTAAATTACTTTTGAACGGCACCCTACTAACTTGACCCCAACCGTGTACCAAATTTGACACCATTCGGTTTAGCCGTTCTCGAGAGCTGGAATCGATCCCCTGCACGTGCGCACGAGCAGTAGTCGCCCCAACTGTGGCACATGGAAATGTATTGCCTAGTGGGTGCCTACCTACATGCCAAGTTTCAGCGCAATCGTCCGAGTAGTTACCGAGATATTGCAATTGTTACAAACCTGACAACTCTTCGTTTTGCACATGGCGGTCACCCACATGTATCGAAAATAACCCTATACTTGGTAGCAGGAATAAAGCTACCCTACAACAATTACCGCTAGTACAAGTGGTTGCTGAGATGCATAAAAGCTTTGCAAAAGCGTGACCACGGCCGGCCAGCCGCTCATACTCAGAAATTTCTGCTATTCTACTACACCTCGCTCGCTCGTAATTATATACAGGCAAGAACAGTCATTGCCAAGATCCAAAGCATAAAACGGCGGCTCGCAGCGCCGCAAAATTGTCAGTACCTGACCGTTAATCAAGTACACACTTTGTGGTAAATTTTCGACCCATGCAAACTGTACACCAAAGAGTTCCCCACCGCCCCTCTCTTTAGATTATAGATCTAGTAATATCTTTGAAGATTGCTCATTCAAACACATACCCACCAAATTTTGTCTTTATAGCTCTTTTGGGAGCCCAGAATACAGAAGGGGCAGATTCTCCCCCCCCCCCCCTCCATGGCATGTAATTGTTAGACCCCTTCCAAAGCGTGTATTAAGCAATAAGCAAGCATGTGCTTTGACCACTAACCTGTTGAAGAGCTCACTGCAGCTCCTCTTGGTGCTGACTCCACATGGGGTTGGAGCTCTTGCACAGGCCCTGCATCCACCACTCTGGGGTTATCCCCTTGCTGGTCTGGCACAGCACCTGTAAAGAAAGTCATAGTGGGTGTGAGCTAAAATGCACATGAGGTGTTGACACACAATTTTTCATGCTCTGAGTGCAATCATACTATTTTGGCTGCAGATTTTGGTCATTTTGGTGATTTTATACAAAATATAGCAAAGCCATATGTCAAAGACTTGGCCAAGATTGGTGTGGAGTCTCTCTGAAAACAAATTCAGTTTAGACAACAATCCACACCACCATATTGGTCATTTCCCTGAGGCCATGAAAGTATGTGGAAGGACATAATTTCCATGGTGTCTCCACTCTCCAGCTCTCACGCATATTATACAATTTAAATGCATAACACTGCAAAATATAAAATAAACTGATTGAGATTCCACTCATTAGAGAAAAATTGTGTTTTTATGAGTTCACTGAAATATTCAATCATCTATTGCAAATATGCACAATATTCACCCAGAAAATCCTTTGGTCCATTTAGAGATCTCTTCAGAGCAGAGATTCAGTAATACCATTGAAGATTGCTTATTCAAATCCAACATGATAGTATCATTTCCCATAATCATGTACCTACAAAAATCAAGCTGATTGATCTTTCTTCACCTTAAGATGCAATAAGCACAGGTCACTTTCTGGAATCTAAGAACAGAAGCTTTCCTCCAAAACATTGATTCTATGTAAAGAATTTATGGTACCTAGGTAAGCAGAATGCCTGTCCAGAGATCCAACAAGAATTGATCATGCTCTTTGACCACTAACCTGTTGCAGAGCTCACTGCAGCTCCTCTTGGTGCTGACTCCACATGGGGTTGGAGCTCTTGCACAGGCCCTGCATCCACCACTCTGGGGTTATCCCCTTGCTGGTCTGGCACAGGACCTGTAAAGAAAGTCATAGTGGGTGTGAGCTAAAATGCCCAAAGACCTTTTGACACACAGTTGTTCATGTTCTACATGGCTCCATGGCAATCTCCAGGTACTGCCCCAGATAGATAAATCAAAATATTGGACTGTCTATGCACTACATGTGCCCCTTCAACACAAGCCAGACCCAATATTAGCTGCGAACCCATAGTCCTCAAATCTAAAGCACATAAACCTAGGTATGGTAAAAATCCCAATGCCCAGCTTGATGTAATGGCAGGCATTTGGACTCATACCCTAACCTAGCCTTGTAGGTGTTTTTAGATAATTGTTGATAGCATAACAAACATTGATAAGTCCAGTATTTCAGTATGTTTGGACATAGGTGTATGAACAGGGGGTCCGGGGGGCATGGCCCCCACTTTTCAGCCATTTTTAAAGCAAAATCTTTATTTTTTATTTAAATACAAAACTTAGAGCAGGAAAATGGAAATGGTTCAGCAAGGTGAGATGAGCACAAAACTGCAAAGCATTTCTTCATAGGGGTATTCGGGCTCCCAAACAGTGACATTGAAGTTTTGCCTCCACCCCCCCCCCCAAACACACACACTTTTCATGAGGTTCCTACACCCATGTGTTAGGAAGAAGACTTCTATCCCAGTTGGACAGGTTAAAAGTGAAATTCGCAATTTAGACATTTATTTCCATATCAAGGATCCAAGCTCAAATTTTGCTCATACCAATACATAAAATTTCTTTTGTGCTTTTTGGGCCTGTCTTGGACTGATTGTGACTACATGTAGATTCTCACTGATACATTTAGCAAGGTGAAGCACTGGGATAGCATGGTCGGATTCTTACCTTCTGTGACTCGCCAGTCCCATCTTCCTCCAACACCAAAGGCATCATTTCTTATCTTGTAAGGCTCCACAGCCCATGGATGCTCAGTTTGACAGTGTCGCTTGTGGTTCCTTCGCTCACCACTGAAGGAACAGATGCCTCCATTCTTTGGCACTTCACCACATCTCACTTTCTGCCTTGAGACCCAGTTCAAGTTCTTCTTTGCTTTCTTCTTCGACCCAGTCACAGTGTCTGAGTCTTCACAAAGCGTACGCTTCATGGGGCCTGTTCCAGCGCCTCCAGAAACCTCCAGAAAGCTCCAGAAAGCTCTAGAATCCTCCAGAGAGCGTTCCAGCGCCTCCAGAAAGCTCCAGAAAGCTCTCGCCAAAGCTCCAGAAACCTCCAGTAGCCTCCAGAGAGTTGGGAGGTCCAAATTTCTCTGGAGGCTCTGGTCTACAATTATGGCGCACATGTGACAATCACGAATGTAAACAAAGGACTTTTGACTGATTATTTTACAACTTGAATGTAAAGAAAATTACATTGCTATAATTTTGTTAATGTTTCTAAATAAAATTGAAAACAAATTTTGCATTTCTAGAGAGAACAATTGTCATTCTTTTAATATCTGTGATGCCAATCTCCAGAAATCTCCAGATTGCGTTCCAGCGCCTCCAGTGAAACCTCTGGTAGAGCCTCCAGTCAAGAATTTCTACTGGAGGCGCTGGAACAGGCCCATGGCCGCGATAACGACTCACAATGACATACGCATGATAAACACGGGGTAAGACAAGGGATCAAAGGTCTCTAGTGAGCTGATGCCAGCATCCATACAAAGCAGGCACAAAACTACACAAAACCACAAACAAAACGCGAATACCACACGAAGCTCCGCGCCTGTGTGCCGCATAGAAATCCAACGGATTCAAACATGTCCTGCTGCCAGATTAGAATTGCGCCAAGGGCCAAGTTTCCAAATTCCAACTTCCGCCGAGAATCTTGGCGTGTCTCATAATGTCTCCCGGGAGACGCGAGACACCGTTGATTGGTCCATAGGCCCTGCTCGTCCGGCGGTTCTGCCGAAGGCCAAGAAAGCCGAAACGGCCAAAGACAGGCTGAAAACGATGTTGTGCCAAAAAAAAAGACAAAGCGTCATGAGCCAGCCCGGCCAGCCCTACCCCAGGTATGGTATTACTTACTCTACACTATTTTACACTAGTTATAACCTTTTCTTTGAAGTAATTACAAACTCATGGTTTATTACATGGGTGAGATGAATGCGACGGTACGACGAGTAGATTTGTGTCTCTCGTCGGGATCCTTTACCCCCTTTCTGTGTCACCTGAAACCTCGGCAGAACGGCAATTTTTTTGACCTCTGCTCCAGACGCCATTTGCCAACGATACTGCTGGCTGATGACGTCACCTGTGAATCAGCGCCGCGGAGGACGTCATACGTGAGCGAGTGGCTGATGACGTGCACCTTGCAAGTAAATGAATCCCATTTCGTCTCAGGATTATTTTACTAGAGCTGTCACATCCAAATGTTTTGGAAATAAACAATGAGAGAATCATGATACGACAAAACTCAGTCTATGAATAGGTGGACGGTTCGGTATGTTTTGAGAACATTCTGATTGTGTTTGTCAAACTCCATCAGCCAGTCAGCTGAAGTAACATGATCCATGGGAGTATCGCCCCCACACACTGCGCGCTATACAGGGCCCCCTCCACCGGCCCGGCCCGGCCGTACGTACCCTGAGTGTGATTTTGTCGCCCTCGTTTTCGGCAATGTGCGCGTGCCAGGCACCGGTGGGCGCCTCGTCCTCCGGTGTGACGGGCACCGCCTCCAGGGTGCCGTGGCCCACCGACGGCACGTCGGCCGCTGGAACGCAGCAGTGGGGGTCGGTCAGCGGTCACCGCACTTCACTACACTGATAAAGTGGACGGTACGGCTCCCGGGGATGGTAACGGAACGGAGCGGCAGCTCGGTCAGCGGTCACCGGAATAATTAGACGGCACCGGCTCTGCCGTAAGGTTTGGAAACTGAACAATCAAATGGGGTGTACCTGTGAGCTGAATAAAAGCACAGCTTTTTCACACGAAAATACTTTATCATAATACAATATAGCCCTTCTATGACTTACGAGTGGCTATGAGAATTGAGGCATCACAAGTGAAGAATGAGCGAGCAAAGAGTATGGACACACAACGCTGAGCGCCTCACGAGAAATATTCACCACAGTACGAACAGCGAGCGAGGCACATTGAAAAAATAACGCCACAGAAAGCTTGCCAGAGATTAGGTAGCTGAGACACCACAAAAGCTATTGAGCCGAATAAGACCGGACACGAGCAAAGCAAGGACGACATATACGTTAAAGGTGACGAAACGCAGACATCAATTCATTCACTGAATAATACCATAACAGTCACAAACATTCATGGGACATAAATGAGAGACATCATGCGAGCTTATCAGAGCCTCCTTACCTCGATCGCCCTCTGAAAAATGTCAAAATAGCGTTATCTATAGAAATAGTGGCAGGCCCTGTCGAAAGCATCGCACAATGCACGGAAAATAATGAAACATATCAACTTACTTTCTTTTTACATCCTACAGGATCAAGCAGCAAGAAGAAAGAGTTGACGTCAGTGACAAAGTCCATAGATATAGACGATAAATACCACCAAGTACCACATAATACATATTCACGAAATGTATTAGTGGTATTAGCTTGCTGAATAAGTCTACTTATTAACTGCATAAAACAAAAACCGTAAAATGCATAAGAAACGAGTGCATCGGATTCAGCGTGAACAAGGGTTACGGATGAAAGTATTTATTTACAAAATTGAAGTCCCAGCTCCCGCCCATTTTACAAACTCGTTTTGATAGAATAACGGCAAAGAAGTGTGATTAGACAACGGCAAAGAAGTGTGATTAGACAGTGATCCATTTAAGACTAAAGTCAGGTGAGTATCGTTAAGCAGTAATGAAGCGCGTACGAATCTGCCGACAGTCGGACCGGCCGCGCGGCGCGGCGCCGGACCCACCGTCCACGGTGAAGATGAGCGATATGTGGTCCCGCTCCTCGGTGTACTTTCGGTTGAAGCGGACGCAGATGTGGAAGGGCTGGCCGCGGCGCACGACCAGCGCCCGGCGCCGCAGGCCGCGCTGGTACACCGCCGTGCAGTGGTCGGCACCGTTCGTACGGACGCAGAGGTCCAGCTCCGCCACGGCCAGAGCGCCGTCCAGCAGCGGCTGGCTGGCCACTGGAACACAGACACAGCGGGTCACAGCGGGTCACAGCGGGTCACAGCGGTCACAGCGGGTCACAGCGGTCACAGCGGTCACAGCTGTCACAGCGGGTCACAGCGCGCCGTCCAGCAGCGGCTGACTGGCCACTGGAACAGGGGTGATGGGACACCAAAGTCATAGCGGGTCACAGCGGTCACAGCGCCGTCCAGCAGCGGCTGACTGGCCACTGGGACACAGACACAGCGGGTCACAGCGGGTCACAGCGGGTCACAGCGGTCACAGCGCGCCGTCCAGCAGGGGCTGGCTGGCCACTGGAACACAGACACAGCGGGTCACAGCTGTCACAGCGGGTCACAGCGCGCCGTCCAGCAGCGGCTGACTGGCCACTGGAACACAGACACAGCGGGTCACAGCGGGTCACAGCGGGTCACAGCGCACCGTCCAGCAGCGGCTGACTGGCCACTGGAACAACACAGTCACAGCGGGTCACAGCGGGTCACAGCGCGCCGTCCAGCAGGGGCTGGCTGGCCACTGGAACACAGACACAGCTCAGTCACAGCGGTCACAGCGCGCCGACCAGCAGGGGCTGGCTGGCCACTGGAACACAGACACAGCGGTCACAGCGCGCCGTCCAGCAGCGGCTGACTGGCCACTGGAACACAGACACAGCGGTCACAGCGGGTCACAGCGGTCACAGCGCGCTGACCAGCAGGGGCTGGCTGGCCACTGGAACAGGGGTGATGGGACACCACAGTCATAGCGGGTGGGTCACAGCGGGTCACAGCGCGCCGTCCAGCAGGGGCTGGCTGGCCACTGAAACACAGACACAGCGGTCACAGCGCGCCGTCCGGCAGGGGCTGACTGGCCACTGGAACACAGACACAGCGGTCACAGCGGTCACAGCTGTCACAGCGGGTCACAGCGCGCCGTCCAGCAGGGGCTGACTGGCCACCGGAACAGGGGACACAGCGGGTCACAGCGGGTCACAGCGCGCCGTGCAGCAGCGGCTGACTGGCCACTGGAACACAGATACAGCGGGTCACAGCGGTTATAGCGCGCCGTCCAGCAGCGGCTGACTGGCCACTGGAACAGGGGTGATGGGACACCAGTCATAGCGGATGGTTCACAGCGGGTCACACAAGGTCACACAGGACACAACGTGGGTCACAGCTGATGTCCATCTTGGTTTATATATTTTGGAAGTGCGCACTATTTCTACTGTCACAACTGAACTAATGGCCGGCGGCCGGGGCCGTCTATGATTCATCAGACGGTGTAATTAGTCACCCTAAATATCGCCGCAGCGACCCTCACTGGTGTCCGAGTGAGCTCAGCCCGGTGACAGCGATGCGCCGCCTGCCCTGTTTTGTCTGTATACAGTCACCCGTTCATCTACCGCTGACAGCACTGCTAATTCGGCACCGATTACGACATTTACAGTCGAATCCAATCAATAAACTGTTCACCTTTAGTAGCCAAACTGTTTTTGGCGTTGGATGCAAGTCCGATTGCCGATATACCACCGCCGACCACCGTCATGGAGATCCATTTGTGCCGAAATCAATTAATGAGTCCGTTGTTTACCCTCGTTTGACGTAAGGGAGGTCCAGCCGATCGGTTTCAGCCAGTGAGGGAGTCGGTTGCAGGGCTGAGTCAGTTCGACATTCATCAGCTGCAGACATTCAAAATTATATATCCTATCACTTGTTTGAGCAATTTTCGGCTGGCAGTGTTCAGACCCAGTTGAGATTGATTGATATGATGGATTATAACAAATGTGGGACAACGTCAGATCTAACATGCGTATCGGCACACGATGTGTCACAGTTCACCTCCCGGCGCCCACATAATGCTCAGACCACGACAGTTCCTGGACTGAATGCCCTTCCCACTCACACCGTGTCTCGCTGTTTTACAGGCCGGCGGCCCAGGGCTTCTCCCGCCTCTGCACTGTGTGCCACCTCTGTGTGAGGTGTCACCTGTCCCACTCCGTGGCGCTGTCCCCTGTCCCACGCCCCCGGGGTCGCAGCCGCGCGCCCCGTGCACATACCTACCGGCCTGTGCCGCGGCACTGACCCCTGGCCGCGGCGCCGTGGACCGACTGCTGACATTTGGACCTTGCCAAGCTCAACAGAAGGCGGCGGCCGACTGTATGCAGCCGATTGCCGGCGGCACCGGGGCGGCCGCCGCCGCGGGCACCCCGCAGGAGCCGCCGCCGGCACCCCGGGGCCGTGTGGGTCGGTGACACTGAGGTGGCCCGCCCCCGGTCACAGCAGAGGTCACTGGGGGCGGTCCGTCCCCGGGTCACTGAGGTGGTCCGCCCCCGGTCACAGCAGAGGTCACTGGGGGCGGTCCGTCCCCGGGTCACTGAGGTGGTCCGCCCCCGGTCACAGCAGAGGTCACTGCTGGCGGTCCGTCCCCAGGTCACTGACGTGGTCCGCCCCCGGTCACTGAAGGGGTCACTACTAGTGGTCCGCCCCCGGTCACTGAAGGGTCACTGCTAGTGGTCCGCCCCCGGGTTAAAGTTACGATTTCTGGTGGGTTTTCGCGGACCACTGGTCGCTGTGTCGGTCCCCCGCCCCCGGTCCCCGCAGGGCCGCACCGCTGTCGGTGTGCGCCCCGAACCCCGCCAGCCCCCACCTCGTCCCGCTCTGTTGTTACAGTAGCGATCACCCGGCTCCCGGTGGTGACGTCAGCCCGCCCCAGCGCCATAGACACGGCTGTTTGTGCCCGTGTCACGCTCAGTTTAGGAACTGAGAGCTGATTTGTATTTTTATTTGACGCGAAATTCAGCGCCTGATTGTTGATTTAAAGAGGAAATATTATGGAATGGACCCCACGAATAGTCTGACAATGCATTATTTATTATTTGAGTTGGGGAAAAGAACCGTTAGCTACCTTTGGTGCCCCATGAACTGAATGCAACGCCAACGGTCAGCCCCCCCCCGCTGCATTGACAAGGTACACGGAAAACCGGGCACTGCTCAGACGTCTCTTAGGCACTATTGTTTCATAAGGATCAAACCCTGGCGCCCGCGTCTCAAGTGTATTTACTATGGTGACTGTATCAGTCGTTGCTGAAAGGCTTGTAACCGCTCTGATCCAACGGTCGATGTTGACTCTGCTATGTTACACCAGACGGCAGACGCCGTCAATACGTACAATTGGCCCTCTGTCTGATCACAGACCTCGGCGGATCTGAGACTGGCGGCGGCGAGTGACTGTGTGCACCTAATGGCGTCAGACCGGCGCCGCCTGATACCCTTTGAGAGGCACCGTCACCGTCTGCCGGCCGCTATAGGTCACACCGTCTGCGGCCGAGGATAAAGGTCATACCACCGTGAGGCGTCTGGCGGACGACTGCCGCTCGGTGCTGGCGGAGAACGGTCTGGTTCTGAGATCAGGGGTTACGAGTTCTGAGTGCTCTTTGTGACCGCCGAGAGCAGCAGCCGTGTGAAAGTTCTTCTGACGCCGACAACGACCATTAACCGGCACAGACGAGGACTGCAGACGCCATAACAACGGCTGGAGGGCTCATAGTCAATAACTTGATGAGCCGTGCCTGTTTTCTAAGATGTTACACTCCTGTGCAATCATTTCATTACCTCACCTCCAGAACCAGTGATACCATGACCTCCTCTGTCTCGACCCATGCTCGGGGCCTCTGGGGTCCCATTATTCCACGAGGATCCGCCTTGCAGACCACCTTCCGCCCCTGAGCCCGAGGATACGAGTCTCCCGGCCCGGTGACCCGTCTGACCGATCACCGGAGATCAGGCAGTCGTCACCTGTCTACCAGCTCGCTGGCGGCCATCGTTCATTCCAGCTGTCCATCGGGCGGTCAGAGCCGCCAGCAGCGGCCGGCTGCAGCCGGACGGCAGGTCGGCTGGTCGTTCGATCGACTATTAAAGCCCTTGTTACACTGCCGAATTTTGGTACACGAATGTGCAGGAATATGCAAGTCATCGTATGTCGCGGACCGATTCGGCATCTTTCTTCCACGGTCTTGGCATTTCGCAGACCAGTCGGTGTCCACCGCGCGACTTTTACAGTTCGTCATGACCGCCACGAATATTTAATGAAAAATGAAAATTTCGGTCTGCGACATACGATGACTTGGATATTCGTGCACATTCGTGTACTTAAATTCGGCAGTGTAACAAGGGCTTTACAGACACTCCCCGACGTGGCCAGCACAGTCGGCCGGTCGCCGCGCACCGGAGCTGTCCGTGCGTTCGCCAGGGTCGGATCAGCACACGGTCGGGCCGGGGCTGTGCAGTTCGCTCGCCGGACCCTCTCGCCGGCCGACACAATGGCGGCGGGTGTGCGCAGACCCCCGGCGGCGGCCGGCCGTAAATACGGCCACTGGACGGCGCCCGCTGCCAGCCCGAGAGCCCCTCTGTAAACGGGCCCGGCCGTGTTTAGCTGCGGCAGCGCCACTCCAGATACACGAACGGTGACGACCCGCAGACACCGACCCGGGAGCGTACCGGGCCGGGGCCGGGGCGGGGCGGAGGGAGCGCCCCCGGGGGCGAGCACTGAGAGGGCCCTTGGAGAGGGAGAGAACCCCAGGGATGGGGCGATATGAGAGTTCTGGGACGGTGAGAGGGTCCGCGGGGCGATACGAGAAACATGGAAACATTTAGAGCGCCCTCGCGCACCTAGTTAGCTGGGCTTGCTCGGGGTCCGAGGACCGCTGCAGAGCCGGCGCCGAGGTGACCGCATAGCTGTCGGCTAGGGGTGGGGGATGAAGTCACCGGGCCCACAGGTCCGGCGGCACAATGCGTCCCTGTCCCGGCGCCCGGCGCCAGAGCTCGGCTACCGTTCATCCCGATCTCCGGCGCTACCACGAAACGTCACCTCCATCAGAATACCCCTCCCTCCGCGGGCTGTCTGCGCCCCAGACACCCGATCTCTGCAGCGAGCAGTGGCGCTGAACGGTGTGAGCGGAGAGCACGCGCCGCTGAGCTGCGCGCAGCTGCCGGCTGGAGCAGGCGCGCGGCGGTAAACGGCGCTCCCTCGTCACAACAGCAAACACGAGTCGAACAGCGGGACCGCCCGTCTCGTCGGGATGCCGGCGCCCCGAGCCGCCCTGTCGATGGCGTGTACTTCAAAGGCCGTGCCCTGGGCCCGGGCCGGGTAAATACTGGCTGCTCGGCACGCTCAGCCGCGTCAGTGGCAGCGCCGGGACCGCCGCCGACAGGACTACAGCGCCGGGAGCGCCGCAGTCCACCGCTGCAGCGCCAGGAGCGCCGCCGACCGCGCCGGAACATTCGCCGGCACACTCGCCAAGTCGGGGAAAAACATAGACGCCCCATGGGAGCTTTAAAAATAAAGTCATCCCGCGAGAGCTATTCGGAGAACTTCGTAAGATAACAGCTGCAAACTTTGCATCAACCAAGGCTCTAGCCTCTAATAGTTTCATATCCCCCACCACCACGCAGCATTACCATTGCAAAATGTTATCTTCTGCAGAAAACAGCTAAATGTTTCGTAAAATGCTCCTTTTATGACTTTGATCACATTTGTTCCGAGTTCCTTAGTCATTCATGTACATTAATTGTCGATGTTGTATTCATAACTACACACCAATACTTCTCCCGACAGGATGCTTATAAGGTACTCAGCTTTGGGCTTTGAGTGTACCCCTGACCGGCCCGATCTTATGACTCGGGCCCGATCGGATCCCTCTCAGCCGTCGTAGCGCCGACCCCGCTCTGTTTATCTCCCCACCTGCTCACCGCCCACGTCCGTCCTCTCACCCGGCGGCCGGGATGTAGCAGCTATCAGTGACGGAACAAGGATACGACCACCTCTCCGGAGTCCCGCCAGTCCTGTGTGGGCTGAGGCGTAATTTACACAGCGAACACCGGTAGCTGGCGCAGAGGCCGGCTTCCTGCGTCCTTCGGGAGACTTCAACGGACGCACGCACACGACACGCTAGCCCAGCGCCGGGCTGTGTCATTCCAAATTGGCCATTCAGCCTCCGACAGTCACGAACCGGTCCCATCGTCACGAGGCCGCCCGAACTGCCGTGCGTGTCCAATGCTGCCCGCGTGGGCGGCCGTGGATGTGTGCTGGGGCGGGGGCGGGGGCGGCTGTGCGCGGGAGGGGAAGGGCCGGAGGGGCGAAAACAGTAGTTTCGGTTCCGCTCGCCACCGCCGGGGACGAAGCCGCACAGGTGCGGCGGGCGGGAGGCGAGGGGCAGTCCGCGCTAACGGCCGAGGGTGGTGACAGAGACGAGTAATTAAACGGGCTATCGGGTGTCGTGACGAAGCTACCCAATGCTATGCCGCTGATGGAAATGAGCTGCACTATCGTACAAATGGTTGTAGACTATTAGAATCAATTCCTACACCAACTGCTCTATCTATTTGTGACATAGTTAGAGTCATCGTGTATTGGCAAAGCATACGAATTGCCGAACATTCCACCGTTTCTTCTTTCAGTAAAAGAGATTGTGTTTGGCGTAGCCTGGTTACTCACAGTCCGAAGTCGCTGGCTTGGGCAGCACGATATCGCTCTGGTCAGACCGGTTGATGGAGAAATACTCCCGTTTATGTCTCTGCCTTGAAAAACACTGCCCCATGGTGAGGATTCTTTAGAAGCACCTGAAACAAACGTCAAATTGAATGTTACCTATGAGTCTATGCACGCTAGGTAAGGCGTTATACTGCGAGTCACGCGGAGTGCGGTGGGTCGTCTCGAGAGCGTCCGGCGGTACTCGGCAGTGGTGGGGTGACGGGCACACAGTGGCGAGACCCGGCAGTCTGTGGGGTGACCGGTACACAGTGGCGAGACCCGGTAGTCTGTGTGGTGACCGGCAGTCTGTGGGGAGACCCGGCAGTGGTGTGGTGACCGGTACACAGTGGCGAGACCCGGCAGCCTGTGAGGTGACCGGCCCGCCGCTGGCCGGTACTGGCGGCCGTCCAGCCGGTGCCGGCGGGCCGCATTGCCGTGTCAGCGCCCAGCAACGGTCGGCACAGCTGCTCTGAGGAATAACCAACACTGAGAGTACCCTCCCAACAGCCGGCGACAACTGCCCTGTGGGATATCCAGCACTTCCCGACAGCCACTCACCGGCACAGCTGGTACAGCTGCCCGGCCAGCTGCCCTGAGGTATAACCAACACTTCCCGGCCATCCACTCACCACCTCTGGCCCTGTAGCAGCAGGACAAAGCTGTCCCGAGAGTAACCCACACTGGCCCGTCAGACTCCAGTCTCGCTGCGCCTCGTTCAGCCGTCCAAATGGCCTGCCCCGCCAGCCCTCCGACCGTTCATGCTGTGGCGGCGTTAAACATCGGAGAGCCGACCTGCAGTAAAACCAACCAGGAAGCACCAGAGGCTGTGGTATGGACTGATCGGACTCGTCAGCCTGACTTCAAATTCAGCGAATGACGATCTCATGACAAGAAACAAATGCACAATGTAAGGATAAGCGGTTGAACCACACCATACAAGAAACTTCAAGTCATCCCTTCCTGTCTAATGTGGGTGCCTATATTATCGGAACGTTTATTATACGGCCTCCCGGTCCCCGTCTTAGCAGCACGGCCCGGTAGCCTGTCGGCGACTCGATCGGCACCCCCATTCCGGCCCGGTCCAGGCACGGTCAGCTCAGTGGCAGCACGGCTGCACGCCGACGTATTCGGCAATGATTGTCAATCGCTGCGGGCTCGCTGCTCCGGCGGCCCGTCTGGCCAGGTGTGCTGACGTCATCAGTAGACCTGGAGGGGGAGGGGACGGCACCGGACCGCTCACCTGTGTGTATCTGACCGGGTCAGCAGACCACCGCCACTGCCACCACACCACAGCCACCGCCGCTGCTGTCGCCGGCGGAGCACAGCGCACGAGTGGCCGGCGCACGCCCGCCCGGCCCCCCGACTGACCCCTCGGCTCGGCGGCGGCGGCGGGCGGCTGATCGGGGCGGCGGCGGCGGCGGGCCGCCCACACCGGGCGCCGGCCGCCCAGTCACGGCCACACCGGCCCGTGTGGGTGGAATAGGTACGCTGTTTGTGGATGTCGGAGCCTCGAGAATCAGTCCCCGCAGGTGGTCAAGGCCGCAGCGTCACCGGTGAAGCGGGCTGCCAATTACAGCCGTCCAGTGCACACATCAGTATTGACGCGACGCCTGCATGAGACGGGTTACGAAACGCTCAGGAGCTCGGCCTGTCCACTGGTCAGATATTAGAGCTGAATAAAGAATAAGGGATTTCAATGGATCGCGACTCGTCGAAATAAATAAATAAGTCTGCAATCCAATGCGAGTGACCGGCATAACATATTTAGCGTGCTGCGTGGCATTGCGGGCAGTCACTTGCATAAATTGGCCCTTTTCCCGAGTTGTGACCCCGACATCTCTCTGCAGATACCAGCTGACACGCGGCTGCATTGCTTACATCACGTTAAGTGTTCTGACTCGTCGATCTCGGACCCCAGACACATCGCTCATAATCACGCCAATTCAAACAATCCGCTGGGGAGTTGAGCCACTTGCAAATACCATGGTAACGGCGAGTACTAGAAGTCTAGAGCACTCTGACAGCTCGGCGGTTGGCGAGGGCCTGCACCTACTGACGAGGAATGCAGCTGGATGTCCCGGTGCCAGAATTCCGATACAGTCATATTGGCAGCATTAGCGTGTGCGTGTCTTGTGCTGAAAGCAGCTACGCTACACTCGCCCTCGTCTCAGCAGCCATGTTGTGAGTAGCACTCAACTGCACTTAAAAGAGCATCAGACAGAACAGGAATGTCTTGCATTCCTGCCCTTTTTGTCATGCCAGAAGTATGTAATATGGGGGGGGGCGATTCGCCCCCCCCCCTCAGGTTTTTCTTGTGCCATTGCCAAACGCCGCAGCCCGCAAGACTGAAAGCTCATACTCGGTGACTTTTCCAAAACATTCATTGCGCACATTTTGACAAAAAAGGTTGCCGGGTCAGGTCAGGTCAGGTCAGGTCACCAGAGGCGGTTTGTTGACCCCACCTCAGAAAAGTTTGCAATCACGCCAGAGCTAGAGTTTTTGACTGATCAATTTCTTCTCTTCAGGTTTTAGTTAAGGTACCAGTATGTGCAATTTGTATATCTCAGAATTTTATATCTGTGACCTGAGGTCAGACCAGACTCGAGATCTTTACATTGCAAGCCTATGGGAAAATATTGAAATGCCTCCTGCTTCGTGTAAACGAGTCAAAACCACCCATTCTTTTCAGTATATTGGAAGATTATTTCATCGGTGATGATCCAGATGCCGCTTAATGACAGGGGCACCGGGGAAGGTCATCTGAGGTCATGTGACGTCATGAATAGATTTTTTGGCAATAAATCACGACATGATGGTGCTTAAGACTTGCAAGTGATACCTTACTGCTCGCCTAGTCAAGGCGCGTCGTTTGATATGTAGGACGACCATACCCCATAACCTCATTGGTGAATGACGTGACCTTGACCTCGGGTCAAATTTCAAATTGACCTGTGAAGGTCATCGCATACTCATTTCGCATCGCTTCGACGAGAGCAACAAAACACGTGTTAATTTTATGCATCTATGTTTCTTAGTTCAAAAGTTATATAAGTAAATAATTACAAAGCATTTTGTCGTTGATGACCTCCGGTGACCTCAATATTGACCTGACCCGAAAATGTTTTAGGTAAAAGTTGTAGATCTTAAACGACCTATCAAACGCCAATTACCGTTTGTCGCTCCGATGTTTGGTTTTTGAGATCTAAAGGGGGACCGAAAAGGCCCCCCTCGCCCATAATCGAACCTTTCAGAACCCGCCCGGAATAGGGTTAACACGAGCTATGCAGTTTGCTCTCTGTGGAAACTGTTACGCACTACGGCGCAGATATTTTCAGTAAATTTGAAGTTGAGCCACCAGCTATCAGTGAGCTGTTGCTGGGCCAAACCAGGCACAGCACCGACGTCCGACAGCTGCCGACAGCGAGGAGCTCCTTTCATGCTGTCCTACGCCGTATCCTGAATGTCCCTGTCCCGACCACCCGACCTTCTCCACGGGCCCCAAGGCAGCCACCAGCTACACCTGCAGTACCTACCGCCGCCGAGGAGACCACCCGACCTCCACCGACCCGACAGCCGCCGACAGCGACACCTACGGTACGGCCGCAGTACCGGCGTCTCAGCGCCATCGGCGTAGAGGGAGCAGCAGGTCGTGAGAACTGGAGGTGCGCCCACAGCACTACGGCAGGTGTAATGCTGTCAAATAGCCGATGGTTGGACATAGTGGATCGTCGCTATGAAACTGAAGGAGGGGACATCCAATTGAAAGAGGTTGAGGTTGGATTATGAGACTGAGGTTGGAGGGGGAGACGTGTGCCTAATTCAGAATGTTCCGAGTCCCTAAACGAGCCTAGTGTGCAGTTCAGAGCGAGTTTAACGACGGGTGAATAAAAGATACGCAAGGCTCGACCGTCCAGATATAACTGCCATACAATTGCATTCCCTTTATGACACAATGTGACCTCTGCCGCCACAAAGTCCCTCGCACGCCACCAGCTCAGTGTCCCGCCCGTGTGTTCCCCCGCGGCCCGCGCCGTTACACAGCGGCGCTGAATTAGCCGGGCCATCGCCCGTATCGGCCTGTTTAATTTGTCAGGGGTGCGCCGGTGTCGCTGCCGCGCCGTTCAGGTGTCATTTGTCACCGGCGCGCCGCGAACGGTACAACAGCCGCGCTGGGAGCGACTGCCGAAAAATCGGCCGGCCGCCTGCGGCGCTCAATTTGTCACCCGTTTATATGGCGCTCAGTTGAGCCGTGTCGTGCCGGGGACGGGGACGGGGCGGGGAGGGGCCGGGGCGCCGGCTGGATCGGAGGGGTGCACCGGCAGACGGCAGAGCCACTCGGCTGACGGGCCGAGTCCTTGAAATGGTAATCGTTAAGATATGATAGGGGAAATAATAAAACACCACTGCCATTGTCAAAAATTGTTAGCGCTTACCAGTCGGTCATAATGTGCTTAAGAATTCCCAGCAATACATGCATTCAGCAGCACTCACTGAAAAATTTATAAAGCCCATGTTTAGGCATTATCCGGCCACCCTTTTTAGCAATGCCAATGTGAGCATTCGAGATGTAAGGATGCAATAAGCTCCTGCATAAAATACCGGCGCGCACAACATGCATATGTCTGGACCTGTGTTCTCTGGCGCCTCCGATAATCAATGGAGCGGGCGGCGGCGGTAGATTAATTCATCCCGAGTGGGTGGCGCCACCCGCGGGAGGGGTCACCCGATCAGCGGCCTGGGACGCACACCCTGGTAAACACACGCTGTGGGACAATAACAGTCCGCCACAGACGGCGGCCGGCGCTGCAGGGCGGCACAGGATACAGGGGGATTGGAGAGTGGTCAAAAGTCAAACAGCCATTCGCAGCTTCTCGAACTCACGATCGTTAGCGAATGCGATAGTCCAACCGAGGTAAAACATGTTAATTAGATGTCCAGGAAATGAAGAAATAGACGCGGCCGATCAGTCCACGGAACCAAGGTCCCCATTTCGTTGTCGTTGCAGCGCCACCGTCTCTCGGCTCGCGTGCTCACACCGCTCCGACCTGCACGGCGTTGGCGGCGGCCCGGCCGTTCCGGTCTGTTCTGTTCCGGTCCCTGTGTGTGTCCGTCCGCCTGTCAGTCCGTCTGTCTGACTATCTGGCCGTCATCGCCGCCCCTGTCTCCGCCGACCTGCTGTCGGCGCCAGCACCAATCAATGTCGGCTCATGTCTCCGGCACGGGTCGCCGTGCCGCCGGGTCGGGTCGGGCCGGGCCGGGCCGGGCCGCTATTTCGGGGAGCACTAGGCCGGTTGGCCCGCCTCCAGGGGCGCCGGTGGCCGCGGGCCAGGCGGCGCGCCGGTGGCACCTGTGGCATAGCCGCTGGCGCCGCGCACGTGCCCGTCCCTATGACGCTGGACGGTGGAGGTGACTGGGTGAAGTGAACAGCTAGTGATGTTCTGAAGTGGACGCCGAGTCAACGGTTAGACCCTGGCGGGCTATGCAGTGTGCGGTGCAGCGGAACGTGTGATTATAAGTCGAACGGGATTTCTCCAGTTTCATGCGAAGCAAGACAAAGACGGCCAACGGGGTCCTGAAAAGACAAACAGTGCTGGTGTGTGCAGTGAGTGCTCTTGGACGGGGCAGGGTTTGGCTCAAACCGGAAGTGTTTCGGGCAGTTTGGATGAAGAGGTCTCCCCAAAAGCTGTCCGACCCGTCAAACGGTGATTCCGTTCATCTCAGTCGGTGACTTACGAAGAAAGACCGTTAATAAACCTGCCTGACCCCTTCAGCATCTTCAACTGCAGGCGAGAAGGAAGCATATAAGGTGCCTCGAGAGGTCATCAAGGTAAGGGACCTAAGCATACAGCTCAGTGTCCATTCCCCGCATCCAGCACTGGATTTCAAACATAATTTTATCGAAAGCCTTTGGTTGGAGGGACCGAAATTCCCAGTTCCAATAACTCACTACCATTCAGAGCAAGGAACAAATGGCTATTAGGTATATCTTTGCCATAAATGCAAACAAGCCGTTCCTGATAATGACATGTGTTGACATTTCACTCGATATGACTCATCCAGTGTCCAAGGACTTCTAATCGCGCCCTTCATGTCTGTATACTAACGAGGGCGTAATTACAACTCACTTCCACGTCGCAAACACCAGTCGATAATTATCGCAGGATGCATCACAAGTGGCATACGAAACGTCTGCTAAGGATCGGTAAGCCTTTACGTCGTGGGACACGAGTTGGATGAATTTGCGAAATTCAGTCAACAACTCTGGCTACGGCTTAGCAGGAACGGTAAGCTAATCGTTCCACAGCTCATGACGCATAAGTGGAGCCGGAGGCGCCATGGCTCATGCTTA